GCGTTTAGATGGGTCTGATGAGTTTCAAAGAGATCTGGGGTGGGGGAAGAAAATGGGGTGCTTCAGTTTAGTGGTGGGTGAATAGAATTTTTGTATGGTTGATTGTAGGAACATTATGAGGAGGATTAGGGAATAAAAAAACTAAGTGGTGGGAGTGGAAAGTCATATGATGGCCATGTAGCCATTCTTTTTGTTAATCTACAAATCAAGTCCGATTTTATCTCTAGGTAGATTCTTATCTCAAATTCGATTTATTAGCCTTTGTTGATTCACTATTAATTCTGTTAGTTTGTGTTATGTATTTTTCATGGGAAGAATAGGTAAGAAGCAACCATGGATATTCCTCTGCTCTCGAAAAACGTGATAAAGAAGAGGATGAAGAAGAGTAATAAGCCTCAGAATAACGGCAAAATATCTATGCGATATGTTCAATTTTATCTTTATTATAATTTGTAAAAATGTGGGCTTAGGTAACCCAGATTTGAAATTTATATAAATAAGGGTTTTGTGGTTCTTGAATGAGGTAAATGATGATAGATGATAGTCGCGGGGCTTACTTAGTTTAACATATGCAATTTCATGACTGATTTAAATTTTGATTTTTTTTTTTGTGTAGTTGTAAGTTAATTTTGTTTGAAAAAGTGTTCTAGAAATGCTTTTGATTTTTTCTCTCTTAATGAATTGGAGCACTTCATTAAGAAAGAACGGGAAATGGATCTGGATATATATTTCAAGATTGGTTCTTTTGTTATTTTATAGTCCTTTTGGTTAATGTGTAAGAATTTTGCATTCATTGTTCATTTAGCTTTGATATTTGAGTTGTGCAGGGGTGACAGAAGAATAGTTGTAGGAAATCATTGCAACATGACCAATTGTTTGTGTTGCTTCTTTTCTGCAGGTGAGTTAAGAAATATTTCTCAGTTTATGGTAAAGTTGTGGAGCACCAGATCATGCAAATGGACCTAAATATCGTCTGCAAATCATTCATCATTATGACATGTAAGTTAGTTCCTCGCTGTAAATGTATTTTTTGAATCATTTAAAATCACTTTTTTATTTTTAGTTCAAAGAAAGCGTCTCGAAAGTTTAAAGATTGATTGGATGAGGAGGAGTACCAGCTGATAGGAGGTGTGTATTTAGATTGCTAACCCACACGGTATGCCGGAGGAAAGGAGGAAACGTTCTTGATGAGAACGGTAAGGGAAATCCTACTGAGTTATGATCTTTTAATTTTCTAAATCATAATGCTAATTTTGGTTAGTTTGTCGTGATCCTGTTTGATGTACTCAATTTGTAGCTTGGGTATTTTGGAGCACCCATGCATGGATCACATGGTAAGCTAAATACACTTTTAGATAAATTATATGTTTTTAAAGTAGGGTTAGTTCTTATGGTGCCGACGGTGGTTTTATGTAGGTGGTTTAATGAAAAGTACTTTAGTCTACTGATTATTCTTGGCCATGATATCTTGCTACAAGAGATTTTTGAATATTATTCGCATTTGGACATTTTGGTAATGATTTCAAATCTGCACTTTTCAATTGGTTTTTGAATATTAATGCTTTGTTTTGGCACTTCTTCTCGAATTAACCATGATAAGAGGTGGCATATTGGTTCCAAGAACGAGCATCATCAACAGTAGGCTCTTTTCGGTTTGATCTGAATATGATGAGTTTTATGTTTCTTTTGATTCAAATATATTGATAAAGGTTTGATAAACAATAGAATTTGTTGAAGAAAAGTAAAACCACCGGTGACAGGTTTTGACAGATAATGCCGATGAGTATTTAGATCTAGTAGCAGTTGCTGAAGCAAAAGCCAAGAGGAAGACCAAATAATATTGTTGGTGTTTCAACTCTTCCATTGGCGATGGATGAGACGATGAATGGTTCTTCTGTACGAATATCGTATATGAAGGGAAATTCCAGCTCTATTGTATTGCTCATTCAAAAATAGGTGGCAGTTGAAGGAATTGAACATAAAGTAAAGCTTAGATTTTTTTTTCCTCTTTTGGTTCTGTAATTCTGAATTTGCAACATAATTGCACTGAATTTGGTTTTACCTTTTGATTTAGTGTTGATTTTTATAAACTCGAAAGCCCTTTTTTATTTGATTGTTTTCCCTCTTTATGAGTACAAAGTGAAACTCCTTCTAAGCTTTAACTGTTTCTTGGCGATTTTCATGTAATTTTAGACTTTGGCTTCTTTCGGAAAAAAAAAGAAGAAAAAATTGAGGAAGAATGTCAGAGCAGTGAATTAAGGTGGACATACTCTGGTGGAAGGCAGTGGTGAGGATGATGATGATTATAGTGATCAAATGTTTATACTGTTGATATTGTAGAAGTTGATAATTTTTATGGAGAAAACTGGATGCTGGTTTCAGGATATAATCATGATGAAAACAGTGATCATTCCATGGCTTCTTATGCTTCTTCGGTTCCAAGTCTTCGTGAAAAAAATGTGGGAAAGAGGGATGCTCTTCAACAGGATAATACGTTTGACAATATAAGGAATCATCATTCTTCAAAGTAAAAAGACAAAAAGGTAGCAGCAAATAACATGCATGAGAAGAAGGATACCTAAAGCTGAGGTTGATACTGCTGCAACAAAGGAGGCGGGTTCCAAGTGTTTTGTACAATAAATAAGGTGAGGAAAAATCCGGGATGGGAAAGCAGACTAAATTATGAGTGTTCAACATTTTGGCCATAAGAATTGAGGCAGGCAATAGTTATTTTGCAGGTTTTTTTTTTTTTTTTTGTTTAGATATCCTACCTTGGAAATAAATGTGATGTGTTTGACTGGAAAATAGAATTAAACACATTATTTATGGGTTAGTTTTGGCCGTGCTATTTAAGAGGAGGTCAATTGTGTTTTTTTTTTTTTTTGAATTCTTAATGAAGTAGAATGATGGTTGAACAGATGAACTAGCATACTAATTCATTGTAAAACTGATTGAATTTTGCTAGAATGATTAAACATATAATTTATGGGAAAATAGATTAAATCATGCTGGTTCTATATGATTTTTTTTATAAAAAAAAATTAATTAACCAACTTCAAACACAAAAGGCCACCCGGACCAAGCATCTAATAGTAATAATAATAATAATAATAATAATAATAATAATAATAATAAACCCCATTATAACAAAAAACTAAATTTAATCCAAAATTCCAGTTGTCAGAATTTCCTTAAAAATTGTCCAATCTTAATTGCCCGCAACTCTCTCCTTCGAAAGTACTCAACAGTTATCCCCTAAAAAATAGCTTTCTTCTTCTCTTTTCCGTATATGTAGATATTTATCACTGAATACATTAAACATGCAATTGATTTGAGACAGTCTAATGAACTCTTTTTTTTTTTTTTTTTTACATGTACTCTTGGTCTATGATATGTTACATTATATTCTTAGTTTTAGGGTGTATTTTCAATTTTTTAATCTTGCGTTTTATGAAACACTTTTGCTTTTATTGATTGATTGAAGCAGGAAGCTTTTAGAACCAAAAATGAAAAGGAAATGTAAGTTTTGAGTATATACTCACTGTAACGCTTTTGAATTCAGTATAGCTACATTTTTATTTGAATGAAGTAACAAAATCTTGCTTTCATATAAAAATAACATGCTGCATATTTTGTATTCTAAAGTGACGTCTCAACTCCTAATGCAGTTTCGAACTATAAAAAATACAATTGAAAATCTGCACAAGAGAACTGGACAAATTGAGAAATATCCGCAGGCAAAACCAAGCTTTATGTAGTTATTATTAGAATTCTTATTACTCTATATATTCGATACATATTCTGTACCCATGCGAATGTACGGTCCATAATCTAGTTCTAAATTATTACACTCTATATATGTAATAATAATTGAGAGGGCAGCTATTAATCAATAAAGGGTGATCTTATTGCCAAAACCATTTTCAGGGATCAAAACAGAATTGATGTTGTTTACCTAATATATCCCCAACTACCTCGAAAATTTAATTCTGTCCTCCAAATCTCTATACGACACACATCGTTTGATTTGTTTCTCTCATTATCCGAAAGAAATTTTTTTGAATGCTAGGAGCGCCGATTGTTTTTTTTTTTTGTTTTTTTTTGAAATTTATTTTGATTTTGATGATTATGTGGGGTGAAGAAGAGACAATAATTGGATGAGAGTTGAGGGGTGCTGGTTAAATCGTTTGGGGTCAGCAAGAGTTGGTTGAGTGAAAAATTAAACAATTGTGTTATCCCCAACAGAGAACTTTGAGAAAACTTAGCCCTTTTTTCTTGCATCTGTTTTAAATCTATTAATTAATTTCCTCAAAGTAATAAAATTTGGGGAAAAAAAAAGTACTAGATAATATGTTCTAAGAAATTTGACCCGATGTATTTTAAGAAAAAATGAGATAATTTTTTTTGAAGACATGTTTGTGAAAGAGAAAACAATCCAGATTCCAGCGTGAATAGGAAGAAAGATCAGCATGGGAGAAAGATGGAGAAAAAAGAGATAGATAGTGGTTGACTTTATTAGGGGTATATTAGGTAGACAACGTGAAATTTGTTTTGACCCCCTAAAAGTTGTTTTGGCAATAAGGTTACCCATCAATAAATAGCTTATTATTTACCATTACTAAACATACTTAAGTTTTATCTGAATTTTCATTCACACCCTACAATAATCTCAAAGATGCGATTGCTATAGATTTAATATTTTCGCCGGTTTATTTCATACACATAATATATATATACATTTGTGTTTCTCGTCTTTTTATTTGATGATAAATATTATAATATTGTATCTATCGTTCACTTACTTTTTTCTTTCTATTAAAGTTAAAGAATGGTAATTTATTTCTTAATGTCAATTAAATTTTTTTTAAAAATTAATAAACTGTTAATTTATTAAACTCTCACGTTTTATTTAATATAAAAATTAATATCTATCTAATTTAAATTTTTTTGAACCTATCAGTAATTCATTGTAGAGGTTTTATCTCATTTTTTATCATGTTTGAAGATGAAGAATAAACAGTGTAGGGGAAAAAAAAGAGAAAGAACAGAAGCGCCATTCAGGGTTTAAGCCCCAAAACCTTTTTCCACCCGGTCCACGTCCACCGCCACCGCCACCGCCACCACAATGGTGGCAGCCTTGCTCCACCTCTTCCTCCTCCGCAGACGCCTCAAAGTTCCAAACTTTCTCATTTCTGGCAATCATCAGTACACTATCCTTCCCAAAGTATCATTCTCTTCTCTCTCTTCTTCTCCCCAACCCCAAAACCCTTTAAGACCGCCGGAGCCAATCCCAAAGCCCTCTTCTTTATCCGCTCGTATGAGCTTTGTTTTCGACCAAATTGACGCAATCGAGAAAGAACGATCGCAGAAAGACCAAACCCTCCAACGAATTCGGGCCTGGAGGGAATCCAAGAAGCAACCCGCCAAGGAAATTATCCCTGACCCAGTTGAGGCAAATGAAGCAGGAAAAAGTTTAGGAGAAATTGAATTCACGAAGAAGGAGGAGGTTAGGGAAAATGTGGGACTTCTTGATAGTAAGAGGGAAGTGGAGTTGGTTCATCCCTGGCCGGAATGGATTGAATTGATGGAGAGGTTAGTGCAGCAGAACTACTTTGATCATAAGAGAAAAGATGAAGAGGGAATGATTGAGAACTTGGGATTCAATTTACCTGAAATGGTTGAGGAGGAAGGCTTTGATTTTACAAGGGATTTCAAAACTGTTCAGACAGCTATGTTGAATTTTGGGCGCGATCGTTTCGATATAATGAGGTGATCTATTCTTCATCTAGTCAACTTTTGCTTTGGTTTCCCATTGTTTATATGCAAATGATATGATCCTTTGATGTGCCTAAGAAATAAAATGATGGTTTGAGAGGTGTGCGAATTTTTGCGAGTAGCTGTGGATCTTTCATTTTGTTTCAATAGATTTTGATTTGGTCTGATGAAGTTTTATGTTGGTGAAATGAAAAAAAAATGAAGATGTTTTGTGTTGTCCAGAATTTCATTTTCAGAAGATTTGTACATGTCTGGGGACTAAAAAAGGCAATCTTCTTGTCCATGAATAGTACTTACCACCGATGAGGGCAGAAAGTTTTTCTAATGTCTTGAAAGTAATGTGTGCCTTTTGCATTCGTGTATGTATTGCATAATCTATTTTCTTCAAAACAAAATGGAGTCGGTGACAACATTATCTATTTCACGCTTAAGTGGTAATTGATTTCAGGTCATTGTCAAGACAGGACCTTCAAATCTTGGTTGGTTATGGTTGCCCCAGTGCGGACAAGAAGGTGGTTTTCTCTTCAAAACTGTTAAGGAAACATGTCCACCTGGATGAGGGAGATGTAAGTACAAAACCTTCTTAATATCATGTTGGAATTTTCAGAAATCTTCTTAAAAATATTGTAGAGTGAATATGCCTCAAGTAAATGCAAATGGTTACTCTCTTGTATGAAAATAAGACGGTTCTGAGGCCCAATTTTCGCTTTGGCATCCTCTGGAAGGAGCCACTTTGAGAGTTTTACCCACTTGCAAAGATTTTTACATTAGCTCTTTAAACTTAGGAATCTTATGTTGTATTTATGGTAAATTTTGTTTCTAAGAAAATTTCAAAGGGTACATCAGCTGAGAGTTGTCGCTTTTTAGGAATTCCTGTTTTGAAGCTTCCTTTCTAAAGTTTATTTATGATAGTGTCGCCTTTTAGCAACTGTGCCTGGATAGCAATTTCATTTTATACGAAAGTGTGGTGGCCATCCTTCTCTTGAGGTTTTAGTTCAGTTGTATATAGAAAATGTACCCCTCAAAGGAGGAGATCTAGGATTTGATATAAAAAAAAAAATTCTGCAACTTTTTTCATCTTCTCTGGGGTTGCACAATGGCATCTTTCCTTGCATGTGATGCCTGAAAATCACTACGTATGATCCACGTGGTTCTAGTTATTCCTAGAGAAGCTTTTGGTTTTCCAGGAATTGACTACAGGTTCAGATTTCTTATTCTTTTTAAAAAAAAAAAGGAAAAAAAAAAATCCACCCCAGTGGATCCCACTTAAATGTGGGTAAAGGCCCCCCCTTACATATCCCTGGTGGGAATCGAACCCTAGTCTAATACCAAGAAAGACAGCACCCTAACCACTAGGCTGTCATTCAATTCCCAGATTTCTTATTCTTAAACTCAGCTTTCTACCTCCTACAAGCCTCTTTAATCTGTTCTAGTTGTACACTCTTTTGCTGCTTGTTAATCAAGCATATGTCCCTACTTGATTTCATATGTTTAGGCATAATTCAGTCATAGATGACTTCTTTTGATCCGGATGTAGCCATCTAGCATGGAGAAAGCAAGCCTAGATTGTCATCTGCCATACTGTAACTTTCTTCTTACAGTAGTGGTTTATATATTGGGCTAATAGATTTTTCCTTTACAGGTTTGCAGTGCCTGCAGTTTGAGGAGCACTTGTGAACGAGCATATTTGATAACCAATAAAGAAGATGAAGCTAGGACTATCGATGTCATGCGTGTATTATTGGCGTATGGTTTTGATGCTGTAAATGGATCTGTTACAAATAAGTCTCTGCTGAAGAGAAAATCTCTGAAGAATGTTGTTCGTAAATTGATTCACGAAGTGGTGAAGTTGAGTGCAGTGCCAATAGATCCTAATCTTCCCCCTCCTGTGATCAAAAAGCCTCCACCAAAGGTGAAGCAACCACCTCCCCCTCCAAAGAAACGTGTTGGACGGGATGACATTGAAATGAAAAAGGGTGATTGGCTTTGTGTGAAGTATGTTCTCTTCTTTTGGTCATACAATTTTCTTTCTCTGGTTTTGTTCTTGAAATGAGTAGAAACTAATATTATTAGTATCGCAGATCAAAACTCCTTGAAAACATGTCCGTCTGGTATATGTGCCATGTCTTGGCATCTTGCATTATTTTAAATAATCAGCCTTATGAGCTAGTGCAGAGAGATTTGATTCCTTGGCTAATTGTTTTGCCGAAGTGGAATATTAGCATTTCTGTGAGAAAAAAAAAAGAGCTCTTCCATTATTTTTGCTAAGAATTTTCATTATGGCCAAAATGAGTTTCTTTCCATTTAGTAAGCCTCGTGAAATAATCTGATCATAGTATTTGCTTTCAGGTGCGACTTCATGAATTTCGCCAAGAATACAGTCTGCCTACAGTGTGACGCCAACCGTCCAAAGAGACAGCTACTTCCTGGAGAATGGGAATGCCCTCAGTATGTTTTGTTATCTATATTTTCTTTTAGGCTTTTGGCTGGTTTTCGAGTGGAGGTTTCCGATGTATATCCTTTAACCATTTCTGCTTTGGCAGATGCAATTTCCTGAATTATCGAAGAAACACGATATGCTTCCATTGTGAACACAAGCGTCCCCCTGAAGAATTTGCAGAGAATCCAATGCAAGAGGGGCAGCATAGTCCCAGGAGAATGGAAAAGAAATCTGGCAGGCCAGAGATTTCTAATGCATGGAATTTCGACTTTGATGACAATGAATCTGATGGGGCTGATGTTGCTGCATTCGAGTATGGAGATTCCAAATTTCGAAAGGAAGAATTTAATGTTGATAAGCAAGCTCGTGGAAATTTTAATAGGGCACCTGAAGACGGAGGTGGCAGACCTTCTAGGTACTCTGAGAGGGAGTATGTTGATGCTGGTCCTAGTAAACCCAGATTGGGATTTGATGATTTTGATGATGAAGATGATGATTTGGATAGTTATGAGCTGGATACTCGAAACGATGTACATAAGGCTTCTGCTGTGAATTTTTCTGAGCTTGAGGTAGACTCGTTTTCCGAAGACGACGATGATGACACAACAAACCTTGAGAGGACAGCTCACCACAAGTCCAGGGGCTGGACCCAAAATAAGCAACATGACTCTTATTCAGAAGATGAAGACAAATTTGCCCACAGTAGGAATACTCGTTCACATTCCAGTCATCGGAACCAAAATATGCCATCTCATTCGAGGCATCAAGTGGGCTTCTCTGGTTCTGATTCCGAGATGGATTTTGGTTCAGATGATGACCTTCCAATTCATCCTAACTGGAAAACTAGCCATGTCAATCAGAGAAGCAGAGGAAGAGGTTCAATGAGCTTTGGTTCAGGTGATGACCTCAGCTCTGACGGTGACGTTGAAGATGATTTTGGAATGAGGCAGAAAATAGGGAATAAGTTGAGCTCGAACAGGGGTTCTAGAAAGCAACAACGATTCAATAGTGGTGATGAAGCATCCTCTGATATGGAATTCAATGATAGTGGCCGTTTTAAGAAGAAAAGTTCCGGTGGTGGCAAAGTAGGTTTACATGGCCGAGGAACAACTGATCGTGGTGTGGGCAGAAAAAGAAACTCCACTGGGGATGGCTTTCCTCAATCTTCTCGATCTTCACGTGGTCCTCGAGGTAAAAAATTTGAAGATGATGATGGTGGCTACAGAACTAGTTCGAGCAATGGTCGTTTCAAAAATCTTGGAAACCAAAGAAGAGAAGGGTCTCATAAACAGAGACAAGACAGATATAGTAGTTCCAACAGACAAGATGGTAGAAATCTTGGAAACCAAAGAAGAGAAGGGTCTTATAAACAGAGGCAAGACAGATATAGTAGTTCCAACAGACAAGGGGATACTTATTTCGATGATGAAAGATTCCAAAGACCCCGGGTAAATGTTAGATAAGAGCTATTGCTTCAGTCATCGTTTAAAATCCTATGCATCAAGTTGCTTGTAAAGAAATGGAGTTGTTCTCCCCTTCTCAAAAGACAAAGCAAAACAGGTTTGACAAGCTGTTCAAAAGGCAGCCTAGTAACAGGAGCCACAAGGTGTGGCTGCCAGAGAAGGCTTGGTTCCCGAAAGCCGAGACTGTGTTGCGGTATAGGTGCATGATCAACCTCCGATGCGGGAGAGGGCAGAATATAAGAGTTGCCTCAGAAATCAGAAGGGGTTGAAGAGATGCTAGGCTGGAGCCGTGCTTTGAAGTTAACTATGTGACTAATATGTTGAGCTGAGTTGGTAAAGAGAGTTCAAAATTAAAGAGTTGATCAGCTACAGTCCGAATTTTTTTTGACACACTGTAGTCGGGCGTTTCTTCTTTTTTCCCATCTGTTGTAGTATATCGTTAATTATTTCGCAATTTCACTCGTTGCTTCACAAATTTCACTTACAGGACTAAACGAGAAGAGTTTAGTAGGTTCCAAAATGTAAAATGTTAAAAACCTTGGGAACATTTGCGACAGAAATGTGGACTCCTACACTCGTTCCTCTCAGAAAGAGTTCTATTGTCTTGTTTGTGGATCATAACAATTGTTTTGAGACGAACATGGTTATGAATATCAGCTCAAAACGTTGGGAAACTAAAAGTGTTAAACTTAGCAAACTTATCAAAATTCAAATCACAAAATGTTAGAAATATGTGTTGAACTAACTTAAAATATGCGAGTTTGGGTAATTTTTTCTGTGGCCAAATTGCCAAAGTAACCGTACAGAAAAATGGATCAATGATCAGCAATCAATTTCACGTTTGAAAGGAGTAGCCTTTGCTAGTTTTCCATTAAAAGGCATAAGGAGAAGATTAAACCCGCAGAACAGTTGGATCATAATGATTCAAAGAAAATTGGAGTCCCTTCAAATTTACAGAAACTCTCTATTCCGTTGAGCAGACCTAATGAGACACGAAGAACTTACAAAATGAGATGCTCAAGGAACATCAAAGTATAGCAAAAATGCTACACAAAACTATCAAAGTATAGCAAAAATGCTACACAAAACTATCTAAGGTTACGAAAAAAAAAAAAGACATCACCAGAGCCATAACAAGGGACCATTTTCAATGAATTTTTCAACATGTTTTGGCCCCCGGCTGATTAAGCTAACCAAGCAAGAACTTGAACATATCACTCAATGATATAATGCCTTCCACACGCTACCAGCCTCCACTACTACAAGTCTCCTAACCCTGCAAGAACCGAAAATACTTTAGAACCTTGTAATAATTTGAAAACTTGGCCAGACGCTTTAACATCCCAGCCAAAAGGGTCTCAAGAGATCAAATAAACCACTACAAAGTAAACAAGGGGGAAAAAAATGTCCTTATTCACAACAAATAACGAGTAACCAATAGCAGAGGAGATTTTCGTACGTAGAAACTGATGGCCAAAAAGAACCAGTAGAAGAAATGAACAGGTTTTTCAATCCCCACAACTATCTGGTTTCAGATAAATGCTGGGTTAATATGAAAAATTCAGAGGGAGTTCGCCCTAGGCAGTTCAAGTCCCACCTACAACATAACTTATTCTAATCTGCCAATAAATTACAAATGAGGAACCTGCTCATTTAAATCAAAGGCTTTTGGCATAAACCCATAACCGATATAGACAAATAAATAGAACACTAATTTGTTAAATGCATCAGCACTTTATACCTTTATCCCTCATTCTCATGTACACTTTGTGACCTTGATTCAAGTAACCATTCTCAACTTAGATATTCATGATGCCATTATATGCCTGAACCGAAGGTTCACAGTTGTAGAAGTCCATCCTTTCAAACACATCGATGGACTCTTGAATCTTTCTTTTCCTACCATAACTTCTTACTGCACTAATATAAACACCTTCCATTAGAGCATAATCAATCTCTCCTCTCATCTTTGCCATCACGTCTTCCATGACCTCAAACTTCCCATGATAACCAAGCTTCTCAATCATGCATTTATAAGTTAATACATTATGCTTGAAACCTTCATCTTTTCTTACAGAGTTAAACATTTCCAGTGCCCTCAGGGTATCTTTTTGATGCTTAACAACAGCAACTACATGTTTTGTAGGTACAGAAGAATTCATTCCAAATCAAATGACTCCTTCAAAATTATTTTCAAAAGCCCATAAAATCAGTTCAGCCACCAATGCTCTCTCTCTTCACTTGGAAACAAACTAACCCACAAAAGAAATAATAAAATAAATATATAAATAAATAAATTACCAAATCAAATATTACATTCTCTGTTGTCAATCATATGCAGAAAACACACAAGAGCAGCCAATGCAATCCCAAAGACAACAATTCAATGACTGTTTCCACTTAATAGGCAAAATAAAGGAATAAATAAAGTCGCAACAGAAAAACCGCAACATAAACATAAAAATTTCTAGAAAGCCACAACCTTTCAATGTCAGTACTCACGGATTACAGCTCCCAAATAAGCAAAGTTAACTTCTCAAAAACATCATCAACCAGTCATTCTGTATAGATAACCTAAAGCTGAACTTAAAATTAAAAAAAAAATAAAAAAATAAAAAATACCAACAATAGCAGCAAAGAATGTACACAAAGCAAGATCAAACACTCCGTTTGCAATATTCCTTTTAATCCCTTCGAATTCCCAAATGAGTTTCTTAATTGAAATAACTTGTTTTTCTTCACTTGAAAAAACAAATCGACATTTCACCATAAGATTGGAGTATAGTTACAAGCCAAAATTTACCCCTAAGAAAGGAAAAACAGATTTAAAAGAAAAACCCATCAGGAAAAACTTACGTTCGAGTGCAAGGCTTCAGGAAGTGGACTCCATAGCTGCCTTAGGGGATGACGACTGTGAACTATGAAGTTCTAATGAACTAGGGTGGGTTGCCGCACAAGTTGCAGCTCGGGTGAATATTAGCCCAGAGACCGTGCTTTTATTTCGGAGGGAAGAACGGAATGTCTGTATTTTTGTAGAGAAATGATAATTAACTAAAAGGAATATCTCAACAAGACTGAAGTGGTAGCTAAATGAAATCCAATTCAACACTAATCAAATTCACCAGAATTCTGATACAGTATGTCACATGCCCCCATAAATTCAACCACATCTTTATATACAGTTTCAGTAGATTGACCCATCAAAAACTGAAGTCTAATAATGACAACTCCAGTTTCAAGTGAAAGCATTCCTTTTGCATCACCGGCAAAGGAGCAAAGAGGCCTATAAATCTTGCAAAAGTTTCAGTATCACAAACTGCAAATATCTCCTTCATGTAGGCAGGTCGTTACTATCTCCCGCATGTAGGCAGGCCATTACTACCATTAACCATTAACTGTCAAATGCAAATAACTCAGAAAGTTTAGACTAACTTTGCACCCTAAAGAGAGATTGATCGTATCATCGAATCTTAGCCAGATGATGTAAAGAGTTGCCCAAGCTGAGCACGTTGCATAGATTCTTACCGTCTCCAATCGTTAAAATGATGTTCTTCATTAAATAATAGGAGTTCAAAGCTGAAAATCTACATTTGATCAGAAGGCAGAGGTTGAAGCCAATTCAGCAATAGGCCTAATTTGTTCTCTTAATATATCAAAGGCAACATGTGATCTTTATTAGATAGCTACAGAACGAAAAACTGATGTAAATGTACTCGTCTTAAAGGGGAAAAAACAAACACTTGACAGGTAGCCAACCAGCATAATTTGGGGCATATGTGCTCTTAAAAGCTCAAAAAATCTTGAAACGAGGATTCACTTTCTAGAAACCTGCAAAATCTAAAGATACCAAGGAATATAAAATTTTTACCATAGAAGACATAGATTCACTTCAGTCAGAAACCAATTAGAGATATATAGCACAAGGGCAAGGTACGATTTTCAATTTAAGGACCACTCAAGAATGAAACTAAAGTGAATGCCCTGATTGCACTCTTGGAGGCAAAAAACAAACACTTTACATGCAGAACGCTTTAAACTAACTGAAAGCCTGAGGAAAACAAAATCTTAAAACTGAAAGATAGTTATTTTTGTCAACCTCACATAAAGACTCAGTCAGACCTAAAATCAAATAACTTACATGCGATTAAAACAAGTGGCACAGAATATACACCTATTTAATTCCACCTTTGAGCTTTTTTACAATCTGTGTCAAACCACTCTAATATCACGCAAAAACCAGTATAATTTCACTTTGGTTGGAGCAGGACAGAGGAGTCAAAAATCAGGGAACCGGTGGATTTCAATCCCAACTTTGAATCAAGTGAGAAGAAAATGAAAAGAGATTGAAGAAAGCTAAACAGAGTTTCTTCTCGGCGAATCAACAGACAAATGATAGACAAATGATGTCCTACTAACAACCTGATTTTCTCAGGACAAATGACAAACACTTCAAATATACAACCCCAATCACAAGCCTTTCAAGCAAAGAGGAAAAGAGAATCAGATGGTGGGAAAGGAAATGAAAAAAAACGAATTTGAAGTTAGACTCAGCAGTGAAACAAATTCAATTCTTAATGAATATCCAAACCATTACCCTTATCTTGAGGTTCTTTCCTTCTTTTAGACGAATCCTGCTCACTCTCCTCTTCCTCTTCGTAGACACTTATCCAGTGTGGCAGTTGAAAGAATCTCAAATCTAAATGGGGGAAAATTATGGCTAATGAATTTCACAAAAGAAGAGTAGAAGACAGAGAAGAAAAACATGAAGGAACGGTGGAATACCCCACGGCAATGGGTCGTCCAGAAGAATATTGACGCATGTTGGGATTTGAACGGGGAACCCTACCTAAACTGGCGCAAATTAGGTGAACTCCCCCTTATACATATATATACTAGAAAGGAGAAACGACAGCTATAGATTATGAACAACAATGTTTCCCCATCCCAAAAATGCAAGAGTTCAGTTTCTTTAACCAAGTACAACAAACACTACTCTTACTTTATAAGAGACGGGATCAGTGCAATATAAGCTACTTGGCTAATTCAGCAAGGCAAACAGGAGAATGGTCATTGTTGATGCAACCCTCCTCACCCAATCCTTTACAATTCATCTCAGAACAAAGTTTCTGGACCTCTTCTGATCTTCCTTCCTGCCTGAGGCCGGACAGCAGCTCGTTACAAATTGTGATGGTTGGATTAAGATTATTCTCATACATTTGCCTGTACCATCTGTAAGCACCTAAAAAATCCTTCACCTTGCAGTGTCCCTCAATTATCATGTTGTACATATCGGAGTTTGGAACCAATCCACGGGAAATCATGTCATTAAAATGGTGCTCAGCTTCATCAAGTTTGCTTTCCTTAACACATCCCAAAATCACGCCATTGTAGGTCATCCGATTGAGAGGAATCCCACTTTCTACCATTTCATGAAACAAAGAGTAGGCTTTCTGGAACTCTCCATGTTCTACATAACAGTGAATAAGGTCAGTATATACAATACGATCAGGACTTAGGTTCAGGATGAACATTTCTTGAACCATTTTCTCGATTTCCTGCAGTCCCAGTTCTTTGTTTATGCATAGAGCCATGATAGGATGATATGTGCTTAGTGTGGGTTTCACACCGGATGCTTTCATCTTCTCATATAGCTCTAGACACTTACCAGCATCCCCTGTGCTGCTATACCCAGCTATCAAAGAATTATATGTGATAGCATCGGGTTTTAGACCCCTGTCTATGATCTGCGTAACCATGGCTTCAGCATCCATTACCTGACGTTTCCTGCAAAGACCAAGGATGAGTGTGTTGTATGTCACAAGGGTTGGGGCTACTTCACTTTCTATCATTTCATGACACCACCTAAAAGCATCTTCCATTCTACCTCTAGTGCAACAGTCGTCTATGATAACGTTATAAATCTGTGCATTAGGCAAAACTCCCCTAGCACTCATATCCCGCAATACTAATTCAGCTTCAAGATACTTGCCATCAATACATAGGCAATTTATCAAAGAACCATAACTTACAAGATTAGGATCTACTCCATGCTTCTCCATTTCTTGAAAAAGCTCAAAACACTTATCAAATTGACGACCTTTCCCGTAGCCCTTAATCAAGATGTTATAAGTTTGCAAATCAGGAACAACTCCCACCGCTCTCATCTTCTTAATCCATTCATTCACATCATCCATTTTAGATAGTTCACAATACATATTGATAACTGTATTAAACGTGATGCAATTAGGCTTAACCCCAACTTTTTCCATTTCTTCCATTGTCATCAGTGCCCTGAAGATATTGCCTTCCTGGCAGTACCCATTTAACAAGGTGTTAAACATCACCACTGTTGGAAGAATCCCATTTTCCTTTAAATTATTTAGTAAATCCTCAGCAGCCTCCATTTTTCCTTCCCTGCACAACACGTTGAACAAGATGCCATAGCTATAGTCATTCAACTTTACCCCTTTCCGCATGGCTTCGTCATACAAAGCCAGAGAAGCGCCCGGATTATTACATCGAGAATGCCCGTCAAAAAGTATGCTATATGTGAAACCATCCGGTGTAAACCCATGAAACTCCATTTCCTCCAATATCCTTTTAGCATCATCCACCCTCCCTGCCTTACAAAGACCAGACAATAGGGTATTGTATGTGACAATATTAGGTGTCAAATTATTATCTTTCATCTTGTCCCGCATATTAAAGGCCAGTTCTAAATCCTCAGATTTACAGTAACCATCAATGAGAGAATTGTATGTAACTAGATCTGGAGACACTCTTCGCTGAATCATTTCATCGAAAAGCTTTCTAGCTTCTGAAACTCGCCTCTCTTTACATAAACCACCAATCAGAACATTGTAAACAAACCTATTTGGTTTCAACCCAAATTTTCTCATACTGCGAAATTTATCCCAAGCCATCTGTAAATTCCCCAGTTTTACCGCCGACTGTACAGCCTTGCCATAACTGAACTTATCAACACGCATGCCCGAATTCACGGCATCAGAAAACACCTCAAGGGTCTTATTGTACTGTTTTGAAGTAACCAACGATTCAAGAAATCGATTGAAAGCAAACATGGAAGGAAGCTTACCGTCTTTTCTCATTGAATCATAGAGTTCAGTGGCCTCATCGAGGCGCTTTGAATCAGCATAAAGGGATAACAGCATGTCAGAAAGAATGGGTCCCGTAGAATCAGATGATTCGGAGAAAATCCTGTAGAGTTCAGAAGCATTACTCGAATCCATGATGGCTTTAAGCTGCTTCTTTGCGGTCTCCATATAGTTCTGTTGCAGTAAATTGTGAAGCTGCCAGAGGTGCTCTCGGAGGGTTTGATTTGTAGCGCCGACGGCTTCATTTGGGATGGAGGAAGCGTCAGATGTTTCATTCTGTAAATGAATCGAAGACGAGGAGGAGCAGAGCAATTTGCAATGAGAATGAGGTAAGTTCCAGGAGTTTTTGTGGTTTGGTAATTTGGAGGGGAAAAGGAGACAAACACGTTTTGCCATTGTTTCCTCCCTAGTTGTCTTCCAACCAAAATGTCAGAAATCCTAAATTATCAGTGATTTTATCATCTTCTCGTTCGTTGAAGATAACTAAATTAGTGTCTAAGGTTGTACCTCGCTGATTTTAAGCCACTTGAATCTGACATTTGCAACTGAGCAGCACAATCCACAGTGCTGGAATTAAAAAATTGATATTAAGAGCAATCCTGGAGAGCAAAAATGTCACTAAGTTATCAGGAAATTGTAGCACATCGAAAATCAGCAAAACGTAGAATAAGTAGGGAACAAGCGATTTTATACATACAGGATAGAGGTCGAAGAAATGCCAAAGAGTAGTACAGATACTTGTTATTTGGAAATTCTGTTACTACTGGATTTTGTTTCATAATTAAATGCAATAGGCAAACGATGCAGATTCAGGTACGGCAATTGTCATAGTCAAAATTCTGAAAACCTATATGAACTAAATTTTGAAGATTTTCAAGATTCTTAATCGTTGTAAGCTGGTTGTTTTATGTTGAAACATCAAAAACCAAAGTCTAACTATAGCAACTCCAGTTTCAAGTGAAGCATTCCGCCTGTATTGCTGGCAACGGACAAAGAGGCCTATAAATCTTGCGAAAGTTCAGTATCACAAACTGCAAATATCTCCCTCGTGTAAGGAGGCAATTACAATCACCCACATGTAGGCAGGCCATTACTACCATTAGAAAAGGCAAATAACTCAGAAAATTTGCACTAACTTTGCATACCAAAGAGAAATTTGTTGTACTGTGGAATCCTAACCAGATGAAGTAAAAAAGTTGCCCAAGTAGAGCAAGTTGCATAGATCCCCTACTGGCTAACATCATTAAATGATGTCCTTACGTAAATAATATGAGTTCGAAGCTGAACAATCTACATTAAATCAGAACGCAGAGTTTGAGACCAATTCAGCAATAAGCTTAATTTGTTTTCTTGATATATCATAGGTAATATATGGTTTTTATTTGACAGCCACAGAACAAAAAACTAATGTAAATGTTCTGAGTCCTAATGGGGGAAGAACAAACACTTGATAGTGACTCAACCGACATAATTTTGGGCATATGTGCTCTTAGAAGCTCAAAAAATCTTGAAACATGAATTCACTTTATAGAAACTTACAAAATCTAAAGATACCAAGGGATATAGAATTTTTACAAATAGAAGACTTAGATTCGTTTCAGACAGAAAAAAAAAAAAAAAAAAAAAAAATCAGATATATATCGCATGTCGACCACAATAAGATTCTCAATTTAACGACCACTCAAGAAAGAGGAAAAACTCCCTAAACTATGCGTGCAGCTCATTAACACTTAATTGAGATCAAAGACAAATGTGGACACTTACCACAATACTCCAATCAACTGTGAAGACACAGATTGACCACAAATTTACAGACATAAAACATATCAGAAGCAAGGCACGATTTTGAGTTTAATTTCCAAAGAGACTTAAGTGGATCATAATTGCACTTTTAGAAGCAACAAATCGAACACCTTACATGCACATGAGGCTTGTTGATGACTTGTTGTGCTACAATATAGGCATAATGTCAACACAAAACAAACAAGTTTCACGAAAGACTCAAACTTAGGTAGGAATATTGGCAATATGATTTCAATGGCTTTCTTTATCCTACGTTGAAGCTTGACACTGGGTACAAAAACTGGTCATGAAACAAGTAATAAATCCATCTAATGAACAGGAAATAGCCAGATCAGATTTTGGCCATCACCAGACATAATTTCCGTCCAAGAGCAATTCACTCCTTAGTGCCAACAACTCCATTCTACACTACAACTTTATGGCAGCTGCATGCACGGACATAAACATACAAGGCCTTCAAGAACAACATGGATTACATATACCACAAATCACTATAGGTCCATGCACATTACTTCTGAGAAAGATGTTAAGACAAGGAAAACCAACTGATTCTAGTCTTTTTCTCTAAACTAATCACTGATTTCTCCCATCTCATTGCCATTTTTCTCTATTCAAGATCAAAACCTACCTCCCTTTGCATATTTTCATCAAAATAACCTCATCATATATGAAAAGTGGCCATTGAAAGCTACAAGCTAGCTAACATCGACTGAATTTTAATTTGCATCCAATCACGTTTAACTCAAATAAAATTTTATGGTTTCATTCAAAGAAATTGCTAATTCCTTTTTACTGACAAGATTTTGCATTAATATTTACTGCAAACAGAACTAAGACACTTTCTAATTAGTTTTTGAATTAACAAAGAGGGAACCTTCTAGAGCAATGACTAATCACAATCATCTAAGCAATATCCAGTTTCAAAGAAAGTGTCTCAACAAATTAACATTACTCAGTAAGAGTTTCTCACTAATTAAAAAGGGGCTTGCAAGACATACAAGGGGTAGTACAGGGACATCAAATGCTCTGCAGAACAAACTTCACATGATCTTAATAGACTAACTTCATTCCATCACAAACCATGATTATGCAATGTAAGTCACACAATGAGCCTACTTTCAAAGACAGAAGAAAGACTAAACTATATAGGTGATTTAAACTGGAATGTGAGTTAGTCTGGTTCGGTACAGAGGAAAAATTTTAATCAGGAAGAAGAAGTATGGGTTTCAATAAGTTGTTTGTACCATGACTAAATGTTAAGCAGAAATAATTCAGCAGCCAAGTAAACATTTGACAACATATCTGTGCACATAATTGGGTGATTCTCACATTGAAAACCAGTCATTCTTTTTGATGGTATCAGAAGGAGCAGCAACAAGTTTCAATTTTCGATTTTCAAGTAACTTTACCTTAGCACATCAACCGCCTAATTGTTAATCTCTTGATTTCATATCATGAATTTTTATACTTCCGTTCGTTCACTTAAAAGAAGCATTAACAATTTGACCCTACTGACAATCCCAATACCAAAAAACAAGCAGCTGACATGCATGATGCAGCTAAACCATGACCTGAATCTGGACTTTCTAGAAAATTGTACGCAAAGGAGAACATCAATTTATTCAAAAGGATGAGAAGTAGAACAGACAAAATCTAACCTTGGAGAGAACCTCCTTGCCGTACTATCGGAAGGCAGTTTTCAGGCCTTCAATTTTTTTGGTGATTCCGACATATTTATAGAACTGGAAAATAAGAAGAGGCACAAACCTCGACGGCGGCGGCGGGAAAGCTCCCGGGGAAAAGAAAAGAAGGATAAAATAGTCTTTTCGTAAAAAAAAGTCTGGAGTAATGGTGAATCAACCCGAACCGTAGGTTTGGGACGAATCCGATGATTAAATACGAACAGTATTTTCATTAAAAAAAAAAAAAAAAAAATTGCTTCGAGGAAGAAAGAAGAGGGAAAAGAAGAGAAGAAAGCAGAGGAGCAATGGAAACCTCGGGGCAGTGGTTGGAGACTACGTTGGTGGAGCTATCCACGAAGATTAAGACGGGTTTCACATGGGATGCTGATGTCATAACCGGGCTTGTAGACTATTGCGAGATGGCTTCTCCTCTTGATGCCAAAGAGTATCTTGATGTAAAAATCCACACCCTTTCCCTTATTCTTTCAAATTTTATTCGTTTTCCTCCTTATCGAAATTGTGGGCATTTTGTTGCGTTTTATGGATTGAGCTATATATGGGAAGGCTGGCGATTTCTTGTTTTCTTGAGGGTTTGGGTATGTTTTTTAGTAATTAAAAGGTTGGCCAGCTTCTGATTATTCTCTATTTTTGGTATCTGTTTTTTCAATCCTCTTAGCTTTTTTTTTCTTTTGCGGGTTTACATGTTTTGATGCTTAGTTTCTAAGTGAGTGTTACTGTGATGGCTTTTGCTTTCTTGGATTTTCTCTGTTTGTTCTTTGCTGTGTTGGATTATACTATTTTGTGGTATGAGGTTGCCAAGCTTAGCATAATTTAACACAGCAAAGAACAAAGTATTGCATCTGAACCATTGACTCCTTGGTATGATACGTTATAGTTTGGATGCAGAGTATTGCATCTGAACCATTGACTCCTTAGTATGTGGCATTTTCTTTAGTTTTTCTGTTATTGTACTAGTGCTTTTATCTTGATTAAGAGTCCTCTTGATGAAAGTGCATCTAGGAGCATCTTGCTGAATTACGCGTAATGTTCAGCGTAATAAATCGTGTTGAGATTCTGGATTTTGAAACTGTCTATTTGAATGTGTTAATGAGTGTCCCTCCATTATTACAAATTATGATCGTGTTGTATTTTGTCTGCGAGAGAATTTTTCTGCTTCAATCCCGTGAAGGATTAGATGTAGTGGTTGTTGACTTTTCTTGTGTGTTTAGTAGTTTCCGAGTTACACATTACTGGACATAAACCAGAATAGACGACATGTTGAAATGTTTCTTCTGATTTACTTGAAATCTGATGCAGCTTCTGTATGACCTCTGCTGATCTTCTCTTACAGAATATCATAGGCAAAGAGGCTGGCGAACATGTGATTCCAGAGTATTTGAAGCGGAGAGGGCACTCTAATTTACAAAGCACTTCACAAGCTACTTCTTCAACTTCAACACTACAAGCATATGTGAAACCACCTTCCAATGATGGTCCATCTGTCGGAGCTAAAAAACAACAAAAAGCATCGAAAGATGCTGCAGCCCCCCTTAATCAGGGAAATCACTCCCAACCTGGGACATCAGAGTCAAAACTTGCAAACAAAGGTAACCAAGGGAATTCGAGGAAGAAAAAGTCTGGGAAAGTTGTATCGCTGGCAGAGGCTTCAAAAGGATCGATTGTATTTCAGCAGGGAAAGCCATGTTCTTGCCAGGCTAGACAGCATAGGCTGATTAGCAATTGTTTATCTTGTGGGAAAATAGTTTGTGAACAAGAAGGTGAAGGACCTTGCAATTTTTGTGGGGCCCTTGTACTGAGGGAAGGGAGCTCCTATGCTGGTCTGCAAGAAGGTGTAGTTCCCCTAACCGAGGCTGAGGCTGTTGCTGAAGCTTATGCAAAGAGGCTTGTTGATTATGACCGCAACTCTGCTGCACGTACAACAGTTATAGATGACCAAAGTGACTACTATGAGATTGAGAACAACACTTGGCTCTCTAAGGAGGTACCCATTCTGAGGCTTTATCTTTCTGCGAGCAATCAATTTATTGTTGTTGGAATTTTCTCTAATTTTTTGCTTTCTTTTCTTCCTTTTTTTTAAACAGGAGAAGGAATTATTAATGAAGAAAAGAGAAGAAATAGAGGAGGCGGAACGTGCTAAGCGAAATAAAGTAGTTATTTCATTTGACCTTGTTGGGCGGAAGGTTAGTATCTCTGAGTCTTAACTTCGTTTCTGCTTTCAGGTTATCTTCCAAGTGCTGAAAACATTAAATTTGTTTTTGTTCCTAGTTTGCAGATTAGATTTTATGCAGTTACAAAAATTCTTTTGGGATAAATATGGTTCACCAATTCGTTGTATTTCAATCTTGAAACAATTGAAAAGGAAATTTCAACTTTCCCCATTATGTTTAGGTCCCTAGTTCTTCACACTTGGGGTCTGATCTGAAAAGTGTAACCAATATGATGAATGAATCAGTCTAATATTTTGAGAATCAGAACCTACTGTCAACTATTTGATATGCTCAGCCATGTAGTTTTTTCACTCACCTTTGTCCGTTTGTCATGCTAATGCAATGCCCAGATCCATGAACACTTTTAAAAGGACTTGTGTTTTCTCGCCTTCTGCTAAGCTTTTTTCTCCTACATTGTCTCTAGGTACTTCTAAATCAAGATGAAGAGAATACAGAATCGCAAAACAGCATTCTTTCTCAGCCATCCGGTGAGAGAGAATCGACAAGAATAAAACCTAACCCATCACTAAAGATACAGCCAGTTTTCGTAAACCCTGCGCCTCGGGAAACTCGCAGGGAGAACACAAACAAACGCCTCAGCAGCGGGTTGTGCTTGGAGATTACTGGGAGAGTACAGCATGACAACAGTGAATTTAGTAACTTGGTTGTGGGATGATAGGCAAACGGAAAACTATCGGCAGCACGTACACTTGAATTACATACAATTGCGGCTCTAAGGAGTTCAGCAGGTTTCAAAATGTAAAATATCAAAGCTTGAGAACATTTGCAGACTGGGCAAACTTTTCAAATCATAAAACGTCAAAAATGTGTTGAACTGAACAAACTTGTCAAATATGATTTTAGGTAGTTTTTTGTGTGGCCAAATTGCCAAACTAACAACACGGCAAAATGTACAGCCTTGTTTAGGCATCAACTCATTTTACATTTTCACTCATTTTACCTCTTAAATACAGAATCCAATGAAAAAAAAAATATCATTCAAACAACTTTCTGATTTACATTTTAAATTTTAACTTGAAACACTTTTTGTTAGTAATGACCATTTTAGAATTACAAATAATTCAGTGACAAATTTAGCAAGATTTTGTTATTGAGTGATTGTTTTTGGATAAGTTCTTTTTTGTAATAACTATAATTGACAGTATTTAATTATTTAGTGATGACTTATACTTGATATTTCAAAATGCAGTTCAAAATACTTTTTTCAAAACCAACATCAAAACAACATTTTTATTTTCCATTTAGTTTTCAATTTGAAACACTTTCCACTTTTAAGTGACAAAAAGTGACAAATTGAAATGTAAGTTGCCATCCAAATAAGAACTAAAACTTCACATTTGAAAGGAGGGGATCAACCCACACCCACTTAGCCTTTGCTAATTTTCTATTAAATATAAGGAGATGATTAAACGCGAAGAATAATTAGATCATAACGATTAAAAAGAAAATTGGAGTCCTCTCAATTTACAGAAACAGTCTATTCCGTTTCATCTCTGCTGGCTCTGTATCCTATCACACTCAGGGGCTCAAAGCTTTGAGCAGACCTAATGAGACGCGAAGAACATACAAAATGCAGACGCATCAAGGAACATCGAAGTATAGCGAAAATGCTACACGAACTATCTAACTAGGGAAGACAAAAAAAAAAAAAAAAAGACATCACCAGAGCCATTACAAGGGACCCCTTTCAATGAATTTTTCAATATATTTGCCTCAGCTGATTCAGCTAACCCAGCAAGAACTTTAACACATCACTCAATGTTATAATGCCCTCCACACGCTTGCTACCAGCCTCCACTATTACAAGTCTCCTAACCCCTGCAAGAATCAGAAAATACTAACCTTATAATAACCGGAAAACTTGGCCAGACGCAACATCCCAGCCAAAAGACTCTCAAGAGGTCACGTAAACCCACAACAAAGTAAACAATATATATGTGTGAGTGTGAGTGTGAGTGTGTGTGTGTGTGTGTGTGTGTGTGTGTCTTATTCATAACAAATAACGAGTAACCCATTCTAATTATGACATAGCAGAGGAGATTTGTGTACGGAGAGAATGTTGGCCAAAAAGAACCAGTGACTAGAATACAGATAGAAGGCGTGACTATCTCCCTATGCTGTAAGGCTCAGCCTGCAAGCTGAAAAACCTCAAAGGAGGAAAATTAATGGAGACTAAATATGATTACCAGGAACTGCCAGCCGCTCCATCACTTTATGCAAGGGATCAGAACGCAAACACATTTGGCATCTCTGTCCATTGATTATTCCATATGAACCATTTGGATCTTGGCCCAGCTGCAAAGCCTGAATGTGGGAGGAAAAACAAAAGAGAAGTCAAACAAGATATCAGCCCAGAGCGGAAATAAACCAATGAATTGAGGGTACAAGTGACCAGTACCTTTTCAAGATTAACAAAAAATTCTAGTATTTAGTTACAAAATGATAGTCAATACCTAAATGCAACGAGATTTAAACAGTACAAAGAAAACTTGCCATCTATTAGATCAAATATAATTTTGAAAAAGGCAAATACATCAGAGAACAGTTTTAAATCCAGTATAAGAAATAAACAGGTTTTTCAATCCCTAGCACTATCTGGTTTCATTCATCTAAACTGCTGGGAAAAAGATAATATGAAAACTTTTTTGTGGAGTTCACAACCCTAGGCAGTTCAAGTCCCACCTACCCTTCTCAAAAAAAAAAGTCCCACCTACAACATAAGTTATTTTAATCTGCTAACAAATTACAAATGAGGAACTCATTTAAATCAACGGCCTTCAGCATAAGCCCATAACCGAAATAGACAAATAAAAGGAAGACTAATCTGTTGAATACATCAGCACTCATGCCATCATGTGTATATTTTAAGACATCACTAGTGAGTGAAACATAATGACTACAGTCTCAACTGGAAGAAAAGTATCGTTGGATGCACATCATGATTTCAGGGAAAAGTAAGCACATCTCATTATTATGATCAGCAGTATACAAAACACAATTTGGATGTTGTCTCGAGTAAACAAAGAATGTTTGCTCCAACTATCATCTGAATTCATGAGTAAAGGATTTGTGTAGTTAAGTTATACCAGAGGCATTCTTTAGGATGTGTAGCATGTCGGTTATTCGCCATTTGTAAACAGGCAGATTCAGCATAATAAGGTACCTCCTATACTAATCTTTTACTCGAAGTACACCTTTATTTTATTAAAACAATTTATGTTAAACTTCATTAGTCTTCAGAGAACAGTATCTTTTTCCTGGGAAAGCACCTTCAATAAGAAAATTGGAGAACCTAACAATATTTGTCTACACTCATATTCGAACTACAATCTAACTTAAACAAAAGCCGCCCATCTCATTAGTTAGAGTTTAGATCCTTCTGTATCAGCACAATTTTCCAGTTATAAAAGAATTGTCCAGACACTTCTTTTTAGTGTTCTAAACCCTTTCAATTCCCTTTTCCCTGTCACTCTAAAAAGAAAAGGTGGTGGACATGCATGTTTCGGGTGCATAAAGTTTCCCGCACTCACCTGACGGATGCTCAATTCATCAAGATGAACCCGTGTATACGCTCTGTCTTTTGCCAAAGCAGTGATATCGCTGTCATAAAAAGAACCAACAGGAATAGCTGTTGCATCAGGTTTTGAAAGAGATCACCACAGAATAACAATAGCCTTACTATATATACCAATTCCACTTTAAGATATGATTTATGGTCTAATCAACCAGATTCCATATAACCAAGTTTAAACATCTCTAAATAACTTTTTTTGCTTCATTTGCTCAGTTATTTAAACCCAAAAATTCATCTTACACTTTAATACTTTGTATAGTTTATATCAACGTTATGGATGTCCTAACCCAATATATATATATATATAGAAAAATGTGTCTAAACAAAGAAGACAAACTTTTCGAAGAAAAAACAAATTGAGGCCTAAGTTTTGTCAATCATAATGGATGGCAGAGGGGAAAATCCTATTGCGCCATGACAAAGAAAGTTTACCTCCGGCAATATATATCCTGCAACGAGTCATTATCATCAACTATAGGTATTGAACTAACACCCGCTGCAACAGAGTAAAACACGATCAAGATAATAAATTGGTAAAAATATTGAACAAAAATTTCGAATGATATATTAATAGATGAACTGATTAAATGACAATGATTAAGCCTTTATTCCTCAATGTGAGGTTGGTATACAGATCAAATCTCACCATTACATGATATACTTTTTAAATGAGCTATATATAAAAAACAACAAATATGCAGCACAAAAGTACAAGATAAAACTAACATGAAAGATAGAAAAGTATGAGATTAGAAACAATAGAAAAAGTTGTCTCACTGAGAAGAAAACAAATTAGGATGAACCAAGCTAACACAAATTGCTTCAAGCAGTGGTGGCGAACACAGGATAAGGACCACAAAGAGATGGGACAAAAAAAGAAAACAATCGACGAGAGAAACTAGGTAATCAAAATCCAAAAAAGCATAGAAGACACGGCTTTACAAGTTTTAAAACCTTGCTCAACAGGCAACATCTAAAATCAAAGAATATGAAACCTAAGATTGGGTACCATTCACAAATATAGTAACTTCGGGAATCCAAACATGAAAGTGTAAAAGAGCCCATAAGCATCTTGGCTGCACAAGGGGGAGTCACCTTGAACCAACAGAGACAAGGCTGCATTAAGTGAGGCATTCGGTCTCAGCATTGCTAATGGTTTTCCATTTGAATCGCCAATTTTAGGCACCCAAGTTCCCAAAGGAAGTGAACAAATTGGTTGCTGAAGAATGGGCAATGAACCAGAAGAATGTTTAAAATTCCGGCAAATACCTGCAAATAAAGTTATGTACTTCAATAAGACACAGAAGACATGCAGTCAACCCCTAGATCAATAAACAACTTACATTTTAGTATTCCAGATAGAGAAGCCATGTGAAGGAGTTGAGGAAATGAGCCATCCTGTGAAGTAGAGTGAATTATAGGCACTGTTGAAATTTTGTTTTGCAAAAGCTTGATGGCCACATCTCTCAAAGAATCATAAGGCCCAGCCTGCACAACCTCAAAAATGTCAGCTTGCCAACAGAGATATGTATTGCAGAATAACAATATAGGTTTAATGCCTGAGTAATACACAAAGATTAAGATTGAAACTACATTAAAGTTCACGGCTGTACATTATCCACCATAAGCAAAGTTGAAGGCTACCAGAACTCAAATTGACAATTTTAAAGTGCAAGCATTGATAAAAAAGAAAATGTCAAGAAACAAAATTGACCATGTAATATTTAATAGCAGAAAGTAAAAAGAAAAAATATTCTACTGATGTAAGAGGTGCAAGCACAAAAAAAGCAGGAAATAAAAGGAAAAGGTTGACAATTATTTTACATGAATAAGAACTTCAGTACGTCAAAAAAAAATTCAATGCCAAGAACTTCACTAAGTCAACAAAAAGTTCACTGCTAATCAAATGGTTGACTTTCTTCAGCATGTCAAAAGTGAATATTACACGATGGATCATCAATGCTAAAATCAGTCATTCAAAAACATCTAGTAGTGAAGTCAAATACACATCAAAATATCAAATTTTAAGTAACTGGGTACAGCATGGAATCATACAAAAAATGGCTTACATGAATGAGGCGTCTCTGATAGGGTCTTAAAATTCCATCAATTTGATTGGCAATATTCATCTTTTCCTCCTTCCAAGCTAATATAGAGTGCGTCTCGAGTTCCTCCTCTGTTAGATAAAATCCACGACTCCCAAGCTGTTCATGGCCCAACAATCAGTTTTAGAAAGCTTTCAGATCCACAAAATGCAATGCATAACAGGGTCATTTAAAGAAAGTGGGAGCATCAAAAAGCAATAAATGAAATGACTTATTATAGTGGAGCAATCTAGAAGTCCAATCACAATAAAAGCAAAAAGAGGAAGTTACAGGGTACGTGTGGGAAGATAAAAACAGGGATTGATAGACGTAAAAAATAAAATAAAAAAAGGACATAAGTTACAAAGAATTTCATAGTAGATAAGATACTGGGAAAGGAAAAGAATATAACGCCCCCCAAAAAAAAAAAAAGAGAACAATATAATTAAAATGCATGTAGAAGAGGGGAAAAAAGGCCTAATTCGATTAGTAAAGAAAACTGATACACAAAAGGATACTTCATCATTTTTGGGTTTTTTCCCCTTGCTCTAATCAAACAAGGAAGAAAAAATTAACATCGAATGGGAAACACATGATGAACAAAAATATGCAGAAAGTTAATACCTCCCGAAGAATCATGATGAAGTCAAGCGCACTAAGAACACCAACAAACCGACCACTGCGAGAGTCCCACAGAGGAGCAATGGAAATTCCCTAAGTAAAAAATTCAATCTGATAAGTAGAATGCCAAACTCATTAAGGAATATCAGAAGTATAGCGAATGCAATAAGATTTTAACATTGCAAATTAAAACATAAATAAATAAAAATAAAAAATTAAAAAATTAAAAAAGGGAAGATTCCAGGAGCTGGTGAACATGCTTTGGGTTGAGTAATATTCAAAACATCCAACTCAAAGGGTATGTGGTAACCTTTTCTGTGAAACTAGATTCGACCAATTACGATACCGTAATCAAAGTAAATTCCGCTAAAATGTTACTTCTGTTGTCTTTGGGAAAAAAAGGGAAACCAAAAGCTTTGGGCATAACAAATTTCCATATGGAAATAAAGCAACAGTTATGCCATAGAAAGCATTCACAATATTTAATTTTGCACAAACTCCATCACAACTTTTGAATGAGAAAGCACATGTTATTGAGTAACATTTCTGGCATTGATGCACGTCATTCATACCCCGGAATCTCCACTTCATAATTTCCAAATTCAAACCAATAAATACCATTAATAGGTGAGAATTGCCAGTGCACTCCAGACTTACCTGCTCATGTAGAATATGAAATGACTGCCTCACTGGCAGATTGACATCCAGAGCAATGACCTGCGAAAGAAATTTAAGTCATCTATCATAATTCACAATCATCTGATAGAGCATCTACTGCTTAAGTATTCTAACCTTGCCAGATTCAGGAAGTAATTCATAAGCAGTGTGCATTGACAAGAATGTAGAGATCCTATGCCGAGATACATCAATGTCATCTAGCGATATACTCGGAACTGCTTCCTGCATGGTTTTAAATAAAAAAATATCAGCTATTGCCACCACTTGCCAGAGAAACATACAAGTCTATCACAGGGATAAGAGATACCCAGACAACACTATACACCATTCAAAAGTTCAGTAAGCAGAAGCGATTTGGGGGGTGGGGTGTTGTTGTTGTGCAGAAAGGAATAAGCTCGGCAGGATGGAGTGTACTGAATTTAGTCTTTAATTTGTGAATAGTTAATGTCAACACATGTTCATTCATTAGACAACCATGGAACTCAAGTGTAAAGAAAACAGAGAAAAGAAAAAGCAGTGTGTCTGGAATAGAGGACACTCAAAGAATGTAGTCAAATAAGCAGAAGATGACCCTTACCAGAGGAACAAACGCATCATTATCCACATCCATGTTAGATCTACCGGGTATCTCAGGGCTAAAAAATGCAGGAACATCAGATTCTCTGGGCAAGAAAATAGTATTCACAACTCCATAGTTTCCATTTACAAATGGTTGGTGCTCATCATGACGCCATTCCCCATCAACAAAGAACTTATACTGTACACAAGTCATAGAAAAATATAAGTACTTCAAAAATATCGAGAACAAAACCAAATATCACTTCCAGACCGATGCAGAACTTAATATAGAACAAGCAAAGGTTTTCACGAAATTCCAGATTTGTGGGTGAGATCATTTTGTTGGCTACCAACACCAATCCATGGAACTTACAATGTACTTATACATTAAGCCTTTTAGCAAAGTATTTTGAGCGCAGAAAAGCCACATTTATTGGCTCTAGAAACAGTAGCCCAATCAAAGGTAAGCACTAAAGCCGCTAGGAATTTGCTTTTGCCCTTATGGAAAGTAACATTGCAACAAAAGATTTAAATAAAAGGAATTCTTCAAACTAAAATTCCCACGAAGATGCTCCAACGAAGATATTCCCTCACTCTAAACTAATATCTATGAAATAATCTCAAATTAATCAAAAATCAAATGTAAGAACCTCAAAATTAAAACAGTAACACATTTCAAAATCATGAGCTGGAATGACAAGGTATTCCTCTTTTACAAGCAGGATGACAAAATCATAGCAGTAGATCGGACAGAAACAATCACAAAGGGCTCTGCAACAACCGTTCATCACTACACACTCCTAATTCCGAATCTCATCAGAACATAATCTCCCTGGATTTCTAATTTTTTTTACCATCGGAAACTTGATTAAAAGTTTAACCCGGCGCGGGGGTTGGGGAAGAGAAGGGGGAAGAGAAGGAAAAGGTTCGTCACCAATTGGACAGTCTTTGAAAGTAGCAGCTTTAGGTTTATTTGGGATCTAAAGTTCTCAAGAACTTGTCGAAGGATACCAGGCGGAGAAGGCAAGGAAACCACTCCCTTTTTCAAAGAAATAGACTACTTTTAACTTAGCTGGCCGCCTCCTGCGGGTTTTCAGCAGCTAAGAAAAAGCTGTCTTTATGCCATGAGACACATATGGAAAATGACATAACTTTACCAATTATCCCGCAAAACAATCAACCGTTACAAAAAATACTGGAAAGGAAATGCCAGATGTAGTATTAGCCTATTTACAACTCTCATGGAGGAATTCAAACCTGCCAAAAAGCCTCGTGATGGACATGTTTGTTTCACATATAAACATAAGTTTTTCCGGAAAAAGAACAAATATATTTTTTCCCGGAATAGACTATTTCACATGATACTGGCAAGAGGCTAAGAAAGCTAAATCAAGTCCGCTGTTATTAACTTGTGGTGTATGCACTAGCATTTCATCTACCATAAATCTATAAAAATCGGGACCAACCTGATGGTACCCAGGCGTCAAGTTGTAGAGAACCTGAAATACAGTGGGGCAACCTTCCATTGGTGACATGGGAATGTGATCCGTCCACCTGCACCATGAACAAAATGTTTGAAAATACACATCATTATTGTAGCTCAGCCTTAATGCATAAGCAAGGAAAAGGGCAGGGCTAGGCCGAATACAACCCTTCCTCATAACCTCACAAAGCGAGGCCCCCTTTGGCTCCAGGGTACGCCCTTTTCATTATTGCTCAGTTGCAATGTAAAACTTGATTTTACATGTAGCTACAATTTCAAATCAAGACCCGTAAAAGAGACAGAAAATACAACTTCATCACCAGAAAAGGTCTACCCCGTAATTACCATAACCATGAACAATTAGTTCAAGTGGTTAATAAATAATAGACATACTAAATTTGCTCAATAAACAGCAAGTCAGTTGGTCCAAATTGTTTTACATTACTATAACTCTAGCAATTTATTCAGACAATTAATGATCGGCCACATATACAGTATTCAAAACAAACAATGTAAACTTAGTCTGCCTTAACTCTTAATGACAAATGTAATTGAACAAAAATATGGTGAAATGACAACCAACAACAAAAACACAGCAACACAGAGGATCAACTACACCAAATCACAATTGAAATTACAAAAATCAATTTCTCACCTGGTGAAAGAGCCACAAACGAAAACCCTTCTCCCGCCATGAGGCCAGACAAAACGGGTTGGAACCACAGTTGCTTCACCTCCACCTCTACTGCTATTATTCTGCCCACTTGCTCCAAACATCTTCAACCAGCCAAAAAAATCCCTGTTCTAAAACCCCCTGGTATTAAAAACTAACCTCCCCACCGGAACGGAAAATATTCAAAAACCCTTACTTTACCAGAAACTCAGCAAACATTACACCGCCCAGCTTAAAGAACCCAAAAAAAACTTCTGAACAAGGAAGGGAAAAGAAATCCTCGGATCCTCCACGGAACAGCGGAGGACCCAGTCCTATACTTCACCCATGCAAACGCTCAAACTAGTGAACCCCAATCAAAATGCTCAGGAAAATTCAAACAGCACAAAAAGAGATACACTTCACCGCTAAAAAATTCCAATAATCCCAACTCCAGCTTCTTCCTTCAAACCAAAATTACCTCCAAAGCCAAACAAAAAAAAAAAAAACCCTTTAACTCTTATTCCTTGATCAGAGCTACAATTTAAGGATTCTACATCAAATTCATCGAAACAAAGCCCCAAATCATAACCAATCAAGTGAACGCAGTCGAAGTTTTTAGTATTTCTCAAATGGGAAGGAAGTTGGCAAAGGAACAAAAAAATCAAAATAAAAAAACAATTAATAAAAAAATTAAGCTAGAATCATAAGGGCACTAAGAGTTATCGACATTGGTGGATCTTCAAAGCTCAGAATTGAGGAGGAGCAAAGAAGCGAATCATCATCATCAATGAATAATAATGCAGGAAAACAAAGAAAAAAATGGAAATAATAAATAAAAAAGAAAATGATTTTGTAATAAAAGAAATCGGCAAAAAAAAAAGAAAAGAAAAAAGTAAATTGTGTGTGTGCTCTAAAAGGGATCGAAGAGATTACGTGTGCCTACGTGTATCTGAAACGACTTTGTTCTCTTTCCTTCTTTTTTATTATTTATTATTTTATTTTCCTTCATTCTGCAATTTGTTTTTGTACATTTTCTTTGTCAATCTATCTATAGATATTCTTTTTTGATAATAATAACACAATTTGATTTTCTATAAGTTTGTCAACTCTGTTATTATAGAGGATTATAATACTTCCTCCGTTCAGTTTGAGTTTTTATTTTTAGTTCAAATTGTACTAAAAGTAAAATCTCAAACTGAACAATAATTTTGAGACAGAGGGAGTAATCTTTTTCACCCACCATTTGATGGGGATCATACTTCTTTTGCACAGTATTTTTATAATACTAATATGATAATGCTTCCACCGTTTCTACATTTACAATAATGTTTACAACTTTTTTTTTTTGTGAAAGATACATTTAGTAAATCTCCTAAACTATTACATCGCATCTTGTGATAAGATATATTATGCACTTCCGTTACATTTTATCTACTGACTTTAATTAGTTCACAAAAATAGAATGTATCTATAAATGAAATTAAAAGAGGTAAAACCTCTTGTACTTCAGTTGAAATTTGCGTGTCCCATAGATTATTTGTTAAGAATTCACAATGTGTGTGAATTTTAACATTGTTGATTCCAAGACTAGAAACTTGTTGTTGAAGGGTTAGAAGAGAAGTCATCATTTCGATTTGCAAGAGGGAGAGAGCCTGAATGTCCGCCGATCGAATTCGGTTTACAACATTGTTTGATTTATTGTTTATGAATATTGCTCTTTCTGTCTTAAAATCACCATCCAATCTGGAATTTTACTAAAAATTTTATAAATAGTACTAAAAATAAAAATTTTAAAAAAAATCAAAACTACATAATTATTATTTTAAGTTAGAGAGAATACAAGATTATGAGTGAGGTGTGATAAAAATTAAGACATGTTTAATAATTTAATAAAAGACATATTCAATATAATTCAGTTTATAATCTCTTTTTTATTTTTATCTCAAATTATGGATTTTTTGTTTTGAAAAAATAGTCGTAACTCGAATGTAAGTTTGTAGCAATTTGTAGAAAGGAAAGAAATGAACTTAACGACATTTTCACTTGATGTATTAAGTACTGTCTCTTTGCATTATTGTTTGAATGTTATCATTAAAAAAAATAAAACAAAATAAATAATCAATTCGACTCAGTATTGAAAACACAGTCTGAGAGTTATTTTTCTATTTTTAAAATAACTGTCCAATTTAAATTTTTATTTTTGGTATAATATTACATTAAAATGTAAAATTTTGAATTAGACGATCGACTGTGAAACATATTAAAAATATATTTGATAATTACCATTATCATAAAATCATGAAATGCAAATTTTTTTAGCATGTCTTATTCTTTTCTCAAAACACGTCAAGCAAAATGATTACTTCCTTTTTTTTTCTGTTGTTTGATTAGCACATTATACTTACATTTTTTGTGTTATTGTGTTTGATTTGCACATTCTGCATCTGTTTCAAAACAAAACAATCCTTCCCGTTTTTATTGATTTGGATTAAATTTTAGTTATTGTGTTTTTCATAATTGAAATTTAACACATTAAAAATATTTTATACTAATTGAGAGAATAAAATAAATGTGAAAATATATTTTTAACGTAATATTCCGATTGAAAAAAAAACACAATAAATAAAATTTAGGACAAAAGAAAAACTTATAATAAGAACCGATGAAAGTAGTCCATGTTCAGTTTTTATATTTATATTAAAAATAATACAAATATCCAAACTCAATATAGATTTTTTTTTTAAAAGAAAGAGAATAATACTATTCATTTTACAATATGGTGCAGCGCCTACAAGATTGACAAAATAGTATAAATTGGATTTTTAGGCCCCTAGTTGGACAAAAGTAATGAAATCGATGAAACGTGCATTTAGAGTTAATTTGAGGTTCCCCAAATGTGGATTTCATTTAAACTTTTGGATTTCCCATTGAGTTTCTTTTATTGTGAGAGAAAGCGATATGTACAGTACAGTGAAAAACAATAATGAAAGAAATTAGTATTCGGCGTGGAATATTATGATTTTTGTGCTAGCACTTGTCTGTTAAAATTTTATTTTTTCTTCAAAATTTTATTTTTACTCATAATTATTAAGTACACATATCAGTCATTATGAATTTTTACTATTATTTTCACTGTCTCTGTATTACTTTATTGAGTGAGATAGATGCAACAAAGGTAGACTAGTCCCCCGATTTATATATTTTATAATTTGATTTAACTAAGAAAATTACATTAGGCCCCTTTCAATTATCTTCATTGAACAACTTTGAACGTTTCAATTTTTATTTTTTTTTAGCAAATATGCACCTAAATATTAAATTGCTCATTTTCCAACAATTTTATTACTTTTTTTTTTTACGTTTTTAGAAATAACATCGTGCACGCAATAAAATAAGAAGAGCTCTTGAATTAGACTCGCAAAAAATTATATATGCTATTTCACTATTTTGGACGATTTAATGTCGCGTTTGTGTAGAATGTACTGAAAATGGAATGTCTTGATAGCTGAATGAGGGATAATTAATCCAAACAAAATGCTTCAGTGATCAAATAAACATTTGAGGGGTCTGAAGTTGACTTATTTAAAAGACTAATAATCAAAATATTGCTCTAGGGAGTGTGAATGAATAAATGTTTATGCTTTCAAAAATAACGTCAAATCATCGTAGTGATAGACAGATCTTAGATTTCGTATTTGGTCCGCGTAGTTAAGGCATGTTTATTGTCATATTAGGAATTAAATGTTGTAGCTAATTATTAGACTCAATATATCCAATCGAAATACTGTATGATCCACCTTCATGGGTTAATTCGTCGTTGCAAAAAAATATGATAATCGACATTACTCGTTTAATAAAATAAAAATATATACAAAAATCTATGTACGATTTATATTTTTGTCTCCTTTATTATGAAACAAAAATTTAACTAAATACTCCTTCTGTCTCAAAATTATTATCCAGTTTAAAATTTTATTTTTAGTATAATTTGAATTAAAAATAAAAACTTAAACTGAACAATAATTATGGAATGGAGGGAGTAATAATCGTGGATGAAATCACGAAACTCCCTCCGTCCCACCAGAAAATCAACCTTCAAACTTCAAAGCGCATCCAAATGGGCTTTAACCGTGAAATTTGGGCTATTGACAAATTTCATCTTTTCTTGGTCCATTCATCTTTTCTTGACAACAATGTTTTGGGTCATCGGTTTTACCTATGATGATTTATATGGGTTATTCAAATTTCAGCATTTGACCCTTTTATTCAAAAAAAATGTGACAAGATGAGTAACGACTATATAGACATGAAAAATTCTCGAGTAACACTTGTATGAATAGATGCGGATTAAAATCACAGTCTCTATACATAAAAATTCCGATTCCACCACATCTTCTCTTACAATTTTTACTTGAAATTCCACCACTCTTAACAGAATACAAGACTAAACTGTATAAATGGTCCCCTATATTTGTTCGAATTTAAATTTTGGTCTCCTACATCAACGTGTATATGGATTGAGCCTTTACATTTCATTTTGCAATTTTTTTGGTCTCTTTTTACTGTTCCGTCACCATTTCCGTCTTGATGACCATTGACCCTACCAAGTCAGGAGTATTTTCGGAATGACACGTATAAGATCAAAATAACAAATGTTTAAATGATCCTATACATTTGTCCGAATTTAAATTTTGGTCCCCTACATCAACATGTATATAGATTGAGTCTTTACATTTCATTTTGAAACTTTTTGGTCTCTTTTCACTGTTCCGTCACCATTTCCGTCTTGATGACCGTGACTCGACCGGAATGACACATATAAGATCAAAATAACAAATGTTTTTATAATAAAATAGAATAAAATATTAAAAATTATTATTTTATAATAAAAAATTAAATAATTTAAAAATAAAAATAAAAAATTAAAATGATTTCAAAGTTTAAATTTCAATTTTTTTTTCACTTCCCACATTTGTGGGTCCCACATGCTAGTCAATTTCTCCCCTTTTTTTGTTACAGTAAAAAAAATCAAAATTAAAAAGCAAACTTACCTTCACCCATCTTTTTTTTACTTTTTAATTTTGACGGGGTGAAGGTAAGTTTGTTTTTTAATTTTGATTTTGTTTTTACTGTAGCAAAAAAAAAGGGGGGAAATCGACTGGCATGTGGGACCCAGAAAGGTGGGAAGTGAAATTTTTTTTGAAATTTGAAATTTGAAATCATTTTAATTTTTTTATTTTTAAATTATTTAATTTTTTATTATAAAATAATAATATTTAATATTTTATTCTATTTTATTATAAAAACATTTGTTATTTTGATCTTATATGTGTCATTCCGAAAATACCCTTGACTTGGTAGGGTCAACGGTTATCAAGACGAAAATGGTGACGGAACAGTGAAAAGAGACAAAAAAAATTTCAAAATGAAATGTAAAGGCTCAATCCATATACATGTTGATGTAGGAGACCAAATTTAAATTCGGACAAATGTAGGGGACCATTTAAACATTTATTATTTTGATCTTATATGTATCATTCCGAAAATACCCCTGACTTAGTAGAGTCAACGGTCATCAAGACGGAAATGGTGACAGAACAGTGAAAAGAGACCGAAAAAATTTCAAAATGAAATGTAAATACTCAATCTATATACATATTGATGTAGGGGACCAAAATTTAAATTTGGACAAATATAAGGGACCATTTATACAGTTTAATCCAGAATACAATGATGAAAACATGATTCTATAGTAATGTTCCCAAGAGAAGCTTTAATTTTGTATTGATCTGTTCGGTCAGATGTCACCAAGCAATGTTTTCCAACCATCAATGAGCATAAGCTGTCCAAAACTAATACGACTGTCCTACTCAGGAATAAAAATTCCTGCCACTTCATGATTCCCTAAGATCAACAAATATGCACAAGTCCAGATTATCTGGAGGTTGCATTTCTGGGATTTCAAATTAGTAAGAGAGCAAGCAAAATCATTAGTATGGTGAGATATACACATCCTAACGCCGCGAATAGCCTTGCTCGATGGAGTCCTTGTACTTTTAAGTTGTCATATTTAACGGGTAAACAAAGTTGTCATCTTTAACGGGTAAACACCTTCACAAAATCCTAAGGAAAAAATTTGATCCGCTAGCACCTCAGCTCATTGACTATTGAATACTCAAACCAGAGAGTAACCCCTGCAGCGGAACAAGAAATTATACTTAAAAGTTACCAATCAGAGGATGATAAGAGCTAAACGAAGGTGTATCCATGTAATTCATATACATTCTCATAGTTCGGTGCACGATGGCATGGAGCAAGAAAGACGTACATGATTCTGAAAATAAAGTTTAAAGAGGTTCTACATCTTAGTTAGTAGGATTTCCGTTGAATATGTTATGAGATTCATTCCGTTCCAACAGCACAGCACGCTTGAGCATGAAGTAGTCAACATAAAAGCTATTCTCTCTTCTCTGTTTTCATTATAAATGTGTGTGAACTTGGCTGAATTGATGTATCCTTTCCGTTTGATGCATAAACATTGGTAAGATGATAATGACACAAGTTCCATAAACAAGTCCTAAAGAGTACAGTGAAATTACCAGTCAACTAAATTCTGGCAAAACTTTTAGGAGTTCAAGAATAACTATATTCTGGCAGCAAAGTCTTATCCCCAATTTCTCCAGCAGAGGAGATAATTAAACAGCACTTATTGAATGCAAACCGCATTCATATATGTGGTGGGCCAAGAGAATGCAACCCAAGAAATGCAGGTTAAACTTCATTTCATCTAATATGAGACCTATGAAAATGATTAATCTCCCCAAAAATTATAGCAAAAGAGATTCATACCTGTAATGTTGTTGAATCTTGGTTTTCAGATCTCCTCTTTTCATTCAACACATTTGCAGTTTGGTCCACCAAAACAAAATGCATTGTCTGCACAAGAACACAACGAATAATTAATAAACATTCATCCATAGCAGGTATGTAATAGTTTCTTTTCCCTGTCTTGGGTGTGAGTATTGAAGATATCAAACTGAACACTGAAGATCTGAATCAAGGGGTTGCTAACAAGGATTTGCATACATACATGTATATACACTGGAACAACACATAAAAATGTTTGTTAGAAGTGGGAAGCCAGATAGTTTTTTGTCTTTCCCATCACAGTTTTCCATTTAAACTATGAATACAACAAAACCTAAGTTAGATGCCTAAATCAGATTTATAATTCAAATACAACTCTCCCAGTAGAATATGTATGACCAAAACAATATATTTCACTGGTAGCATATTCTAATGTAATTGAAACGGGAAAAGAATGCTAGGACTAGACATAAGTACAGCCGCAGTGGTAATGTAATTCTAAGCGGAGGAAACAAAACCAAAGAGAGAGAAGTTGATGTCATAGGCCCCCGAATGACCACTATGAAAAGCTAACCAGCTAAAACGGATATGTACGAATGAATGGAATGAGCTTGGGTAGTAGCATTATCCCGGCAGCTAATCCATTAAAATTTTATTAGTTGAATTTGTTCTGTATTATTACAGAGATGACAAGAAAAATACCTCAATGATACAGAAGTAATGTCAAATTTATTAGAGGTATGGTACTTTAGAATCAGATCTTAACAAGTAAGACTTCCATGGCATGGAGTATTTTAAATATGTGATAACAGCTACAGTAAAGAGAAAAATGAACTGCTAGTAATACAACTTAACTTGATAGCACAAAGTCATATCCCAAGAGTCTGTAGCAGAATAATATTAACTGAAAAGAAAAAGGAAACAAGGTATCAAAAGAGCCAAAAGAAAACAAAACCTTCAGTAACTTCTCCACCGAAGATGGGGGCAAGAACTGGAATGCTCTTTCTCTCTCTTCATTGAAACATTGATCAACCTGAGCCCAAACAAACCCCACAAATCCCCAACCCAAGAGAGACAAAGAGATTACGATTTCAAAAGACAGACTTTTGCAACATGATTTAGGTGAAGCACGAAACTTTGAGCTACGGTAACCTTGAGAATGTAATCCTTAGCTGAATAGGAGAGAAGCCATTGTGATGCTACACTAGAGTAGAATCCTGCAGCATTTGCGAGAATAACTTCCTCAAAATTGTTGTAATAAGAGGCACTTTCACGTCCGCAACTTTCTACAAAGAATGTTGAGATCTGTTGCAGCAGGTACTTATCAATTAATTGCCCATTCCGATCTTCAACAATCTGCAAATTGGTTAAAGGGTTCATGCCTATACATTTAAATTATACACCATACAAATGACGAGACATGTAAACTTACAAGGGTAACTGCAGCAGAAAACAACTTTTGGAGGAAAGGCTTGCAGACCTGGATTTAGAAAACACATTGAAATTGTTACAAATTTGTGCAGTAAAATACCAATAACCCAAAAGGAAATAAGTTTTAGGCATTCAAAACATGGTTAACAGCGCACATGATCACAATATAAGCGTGTTGCAATGTCCTCAAGCCGACCACCCTTCCTACGTTCAGCTTCACGACCAAGATACAAAAAGAATACTCCAAGAAACTTTGAAAAAGCCTGGTACTTTGACCACATGTGCAGAAACTGTACCAGTAGAGGAACACCCTCTTTATCACATATAGCTGGTAGAACCTGGACAAATGAAAGCCCAAAAACAATTAAGTGGGAACAAGATTAAAATGGAACATAAATCTAAAATCACACAGTTACACAATGGATTCTTTTACTCCAACGCTTTGCAACTCCAATCATGGAAATAAACAACAAGTCTGACAAGATACAGGGGCTCTTTCCCATAACAAACTATAACTGGTTAGCTCGATGCATGTTATAGGGAAAAAAAAGAGAGGAGTAAAAGGAAAAACAACTTCAAGGGAGTTCGTGAAAATGTCCAAGGATGAACTGAATAGCTTTTGTAACCTCTAAACCCCTTATTAAAGTGATTGTGGGGGTAGAATCAAATGCAGGATGACATTAACAAGTACTTTAGAAAAGAAATAGAAAGTTGGAGACCTGAGGAGTGAGGGATTGTTTCCATCGGAATCGAGGAAGTGGTATATGATCATACAATACTCATCTTACAAATCAAAAAGCACATTATGCATGTTGCTTAGATAACGATCAAACCTTTGACAAAATACTCTCTTCCATGGCTTTCTCAAATTTCTCAAGCATGTGGGCTCCATAGTCAATGGCACACATGTGATAAACACAGCTATTGCTGGTCAAGAAAATTCACTGACTCAATGATAGTTTAAGAAGAATCTAGCAAAGAAATATGTGAATAAACCCCAGAAGCAACAATTAAGAAAGAGTGAGTCAGAAAACACCCAAACGAAAAATACTTTGCCGATTTTACATAGCACTAGAGTTCATAACAAATGTCTAATACTGCTGCTACATCACTCTAAAGAATCATCACTTTCCTTCAATTTTAACTAAACATCAGATATCGACATCCTACATCAATTAAAATTCCTAAATTCAATTTTAACTAAACATCAGATATCGACATCCTACATCAATTAAAATTCCTAAACTTAAGTATACCAACAGGCAAACTACAGCAGCTACATCATCGGTACTAAGTAACCATAGTTTATGAATGATAACTTGAACAGCATGCACGCAGTCGTATTTGTAAACTCCACACGGTAACTGCATTTGAAATCATAATAGTGCAGGTAATCGTGATCAATGTGGTACAGGGTGGTTATTATACTTCAGGTTAAAAAAGGGAAACAAAACCAAGACGACAAGGGCCACAAGGCCTTGGTACCTAATAGCAGTTAACTGCTCCAAAAGTGAATAAATAAACAAGAAACAGGAATATTTGACGCCTAATAGAGTGTGGTACTTACGATGAAAATGAAAAGGAAAAAAAAGAGAAATCTGAAAAAAGTAATTTCAGCTTAAAGGATACTCGTAGTATTTCATGTATTCTTCAGGAGTAAACGAAACCTTCGGAGAGTACTCATCAAAAACCAAATTTGCCTTCGCAATGCCCTCTTCCAACCTAGCCATTCTCTCTTGTATCATCATGCCCCGATTCGTTGCTTCAGCCGGTGACGGGTTGCGAGGGAACACAGCATACTGCCTTGCCATGCCTAAACTCCTGAAAATTACAGGACACCAGTGAGCATCATACGTAGGACTTCACACTAATCAAGAACCGTTTCAGAAAAAAAAAACACTAACGAATAAACAGAATAACCAGAACTAAATAGTCCCACATTCAAAAAGGAAATAATAATAATAATAATAATAATAATAATAATAATAATAATAATAATAATAATAATAATAATAATAATAAAATGGCATTGGAATACTTCAGCACTTTAGGAACTTAACATACAGGCTGAGGGTTTCATACACACGCCAGAAAAGAATACTTATAACCTGACAATTTAAGTATAACTTATTTTTAGGGGCAAATATAAGGGTTCATATTACGATTTCGTGGGGTTTATGTCTCTGTTGTCTCTCTAGACAACTACACATGCAAGGATGCAGGACATGGTATAAAGCATTCCAGTCCGTAATTACCCCAAAGGAGTATCAGTCAACTGGCTCAAAAAACCATTATACTTACTAATAATACATAAATAATTCTTTTTATCAAATGGTATAGAACATACAATCCAACAAACAGTTGCATTAAATAGAGCAGTCACAAGTATTCTTTTTATTATTAATTTAAAAATGGCATTGAACTATTGAAACCCTTTGGCCCATTCCCAATACAAATTCATACTATCAATAAACCCATTACAAAACGGTAATCAACGTTCAAAAAACATCCCTATTTTCATCCCACCAATCAATATTAAAATACAACAACAAAGCGTACATACATCACATCAAGATCCTCAAAAAATTTTAAGATGCATTGATTAAAAACCCTCTTCTTTCTTGTTCCCAGACGCAGTTCATACCCAACAAGTTCAAGAAAAATTCAAAACAAAAGCAGAATTCTGTGAGATTATCTACTAATTATATCAGTCCTAACAAAGAAACAGGCAAACCACTCACAAGCCGCATTAAAATTCTACTTAGGACAAGAATGGCCGTAATTTTGAGTGGAAAGAGTATACATGATCGTTTTGCGTAATTTTTCGTGAACAGGTTAAAAAAAAAAGCAAAAACTAAAAAATTTAGGATCAAAGATTAACAATATGAGATTAAAGTTCAAGCAGAAACCGCCGGTTGTAATCTTACCGGTTAATTATCAGGAAAATATCACCGCCTTTTCACCACCGTCGCCGGAACTGCATGAGTTGAGAGTAAAAAAAAAAACAGAGAGAAAAAGAGTAAAGTAAAATAAATCTATAGGGGGCTTATGTGGCGAACCGTTTTCGTACCAAAAAGAAAAAAGAAAAGGTGAAAAGGGGAAGAGGAGGTGGTTGAGGCTAAATATGTCATTTAAACAGGAGATATTTGTGGAAGCATTTTTTATTTTCTTTCTTATTATGATGTTTTGTTTTGTTTTGTTTTAGATATTGAATACATGATGAGTAACATATTTTTATATCCTAAAAATCTGATTCGAATTTAAGGCCTTTTTTTCATTCATCACTTAAATTTAATGGTTTGATTGATACTTATTTGATAACGTGATCTCATGATAATAATTTAATTAGTTATAAAAAGTTAATAAATTAAGTATTTAACTCTTACGTACGTTTGAAAACTAAAACGAGTCTGGAGTGTAAAATTGAATGCATCAAACAACATAAATTTAATTCAATTAGTTCAGTGCTTATGATTTGATTTCGTATTCCAAACATAAATTAAGTTTTATCAAAACGACCCTGAGTGCATCCCAACTGATCTCTATTTCATTGGATTCAGGCGGTCTAATTTCTTTCATGGTCATACAAATTAGTGATGGTATTTTCCATTTCGGATTTCAGAACCGACTTCAATACATCTGAATAAATATCTTTTAAAGATAAAAGTATTTCCAAGTTTCCTTGTTCTTTTTTTCGTTTTGTTTGGACTAAAGGTTCCAAGTACTGCTTATATATCTAACAAGAAATATCTCGACGTAAAACGACAAGTTTCAACAGTGAGTTGGGGTCACCACTGAAGATCATGAGGATGCATTGTATTGATTGATTGATTGATGCACACATTCCCGCTTTTTTACTATAAAGCAAAGCCATTAGCTCAGTTTACTGATCATCACTCATTCTTCTCGCACGGAAAGGATAACAAGATAACAAGATTTTTTTAGGTTCGTCTTCTCTTCGCTCCTGCTCAATTCTGCATCTTTTTGCTACTGATTTAATTACTTGCATGTCTAAATTTCGGTGTTGAATCAACTCGAATTGGTTATTAGCTTTCTGGGTTTTCATTTCTTGCAGTTTTTCTGATGATTTGGGTTGTAATTTTAGGATGTTTTTTTGCTAAAGAAACGATTTTTTTTTTTTTTGGGGTTCCTTTTTGTACTTCAGAGCATGGCTTCAATTCAAGCTACTTTAACGTCCGGAGGAACAGGATACAGAACTGGAGGGAATTATGTTGTTGCTCCGGTGAAGTTTCTGAATGGCTCATTCTTATCTGGGACTGATGTAACAGGACAAATTGCTCCGAGTTGTACCAAGAAGCGTTCTTCATCTTCGATTCATCGCCCCTCGGGCATTAGAGCTACTATGACGTTTGATCCTCCGGCGACCAATGCTGAAAAATCTAAGCAAAAGAAGAAGCATACGGTTGATCCTAATTCCCCTGATTTCCTACCTCTCCCATCCTTCCAGGAATGCTTCCCCAGAAGCACTAAGCAGTACACGTGAGTGTGAATGTGTGATATGTGCGATAGGATTTGTTAGTTGTTGTGATTGTATTTTGTGCATTATTCTTCTGATGACTAAATTCAATCGTGCTGTTTTTTCAGGGAAGTTGTTCATGGCCCTTCTGGTCATCTACTCAGGGTTCCGTTTCGGCGTATCCATCTATCAGGAGATGAGCCCCATTTTGATGCTTATGACACCAGTGGCCCCCAAGATGTTAGCCCCCGGATTGGTAAACTCATCCAAAACTCTCTCTCTTTTTGGGTCTTTCACTGTTCTTGTTATCATTGATGGAAAAACTCATGAATCTTTAAGATGATCTGCATTTTTAAAATCATAAACATTTTCTGGACTGTTGTGATCTGCATGTTCTCATCTTAGATGCATTCTTAGATGTGTCAGAAAGTTAGTATTAGGAAGTTCTCTGCAAGTATGTGTCATTATTGGTCTCATTGATCTGTTCATGTGTGTATTCAAGGCTAAAGATTTATAAATATGCCTCTAAACTGCTTTTGGATGATGTTTGTCCCCTGTACATGTATTACAGCAGTAGTGTGTCTTTCTTGCTCACATGAGTATGTTCAAAGAAAAGCTCTTGCAAAATCTTCTTAAGGGTTGAGCATGCAGAAAACTAAGAATAATTCAGCTAGAAAGATAAAACTTCTCTTGGAACCCTTAAGCGATGTCTTGGTATCTTAAGCTAAGTAGCTAACAGCAACCGAAGTTCCTTCGGTAAACCTTGAAGAAGACAATTAGACAACAATGTCTCGGGCATTTTTGTTATAATCAAATTTCTTTAGTCTTCTTGTCTTGATTTCACCTGTGTATTTGCAAATGGTGCTCCTGATCAGGTCTTCCAAAACTGCGCAAGAACTGGATTGATAGAAGGGAACAGTTGGGGGCACCACGCTACACCCAAATGTACTATGCTAAACAGGGTATCATAACTGAAGAAATGGCTTTTTGTGCTGCTCGGGAAAATCTTGATCCAGAGTTTGTGAGGTCAGAAGTTGCTCGTGGCCGGGCAATCATTCCAGCAAACAAGAATCACCTGGAGTTAGAACCGATGATTGTTGGAAGAAATTTCTTGGTGAAGGTCAATGCAAATATCGGAAACTCTGCTGTTGTAAGCTCCATTGAGGAAGAAGTGCACAAACTTCAATGGGCAACAATGTGGGGTGCTGATACTATTATGGATCTCTCAACAGGTCGGCACATCCATGAAACTCGCGAGTGGATCCTTCGTAACTCTGCTGTGCCAGTTGGGACTGTGCCAATCTATCAAGCACTGGAAAAAGTGAATGGAATTGCAGAGAATCTAACTTGGGAAGTTTTCAGAGACACCTTGATTGAACAAGCTGAGCAAGGTGTAGACTACTTCACCATCCATGCCGGTGTCCTACTCCGTTACATCCCACTGACAGCAAAGCGCATGACTGGAATTGTTTCCCGTGGAGGTTCGATTCATGCAAAGTGGTGTTTGGCTTATCACAAGGAAAACTTTGCTTATGAACATTGGGATGAAATACTGGACATATGCAATCAATATGATATATCGCTGTCGATTGGTGATGGTCTGAGACCTGGTTCAATTTATGATGCAAATGACACGGCCCAGTTTGCGGAGCTCCTCACCCAAGGGGAATTGACTCGCAGAGCTTGGGAGAAAGATGTACAGGTGATAACAATTATCTGTTCTGTCATGCAAAAAAAAACATGAATTTTCCTCATTTTCCAAAGATGTCAGTACTGCAGGACATCTTCTGATTTCATTTCAATTATTTCTGTGTGATACTTGGTCTTATATAATTAACCTACATTTTTCATTTACTTCTTCCTTTATGATTTGCTCTTTGTTAGCTGCCATTAGGATTTATAGTTTGTTATTTTCTTGCAGGTCATGAATGAGGGACCTGGACATATACCTATGCACAAGATCCCCGAGAACATGCAAAAGCAGTTGGAATGGTGTAATGAAGCACCATTCTACACTCTTGGGCCTTTGACAACTGACATTGCTCCTGGATATGATCACATAACTTCAGCTATTGGGGCAGCCAATATTGGGGCCCTTGGCACTGCACTTCTATGTTATGTGACACCTAAGGAGCATCTTGGCTTGCCAAATAGGGACGATGTGAAAGCTGGAGTTATAGCATACAAGATAGCTGCACATGCAGCTGATTTAGCAAAATGCCATCCTCATGCTCAAGCCTGGGATGATGCACTAAGCAAGGCAAGGTTTGAGTTCCGCTGGATGGACCAATTCGCATTGTCATTGGACCCAATGACTGCCATGTCCTTTCACGATGAAACCTTGCCATCTGAAGGAGCTAAAGTTGCTCATTTTTGCTCAATGTGCGGCCCTAAATTTTGCTCTATGAAGATAACAGAGGATGTGAGGAAATATGCTGAGCAGCATGGCTATGGAAGTGCAGAAGAAGCTGTCAAGCGCGGGATGGATGCCATGAGTGCTGAGTTCTTGGCTGCTAAGAAAACTGTTAGTGGGGAACAACATGGTGAGGTTGGTGGAGAAATCTATCTCCCTGAGACATATGTGAAGTCTCCGGAAAGCTGAAGGTAAGAGTAGTTTTGGCCTTTAACTGTAACCTGGTACATTGATGAATTACATTCATAAATAATTAAAAAGTACTAAGAAATTTCCATGCAAGACAGGACAATCTACTGTCATTAGATAGTTACATTTATCTATTATGTGTAATTTGCCTTTGGTAAACTAGAGAGAAGAATATCTTTCTGACAAACATGATCTCTTCATCATAATCTGTTTACCAGTCCCATCCTTTCGCAATGTAAATCAAATCATTTCTGACTTTTTGCAGGACTGTGTAAAAGATTGGTCCAATGTTGTGCGATTTCAGCTGGACTCAGTCAGTTTAAGAGAATGGCGTAGGATATATGTCATCAAGAAGTAGGTAAGTGTGTAGACTAGCTAGCAAAATAACTTGCAACGACATTTCCTTGTGGATTATGTCTAGAAATGTCTAGGTTGCGACCGAATGTTGTCAGCAGTACCAATCTTTTTCTTTTATGTTCAATGTCATCAAGTTCGCTGTTCGTTTATTGACTCGAGATTGCACCAGGGGTGTCTGATCGATATGCCAGCACCACGGCTGTTTTTAGTCGCGATGTTTGGCTCGACAGGCTGAGATAGTCCCTTTGAACCTGAACAGGATAATGCCTGCGTAGGGAGTGTGCACTTTCTTCTCCTGTGTCTTTTACAGGGTTGGGAGTTCATGCTGATGCACTTGGAGCAAAGTTTCAGTATCAATGTATCATGGTCACTCGTGATCGTGTTGTTCTCCTCACCGTCGAAAGTTTAAAAATTCAACAGAAATAAACCAAAAAATAAAAAGTAAAAAATTATTGGTTAGAAACAACAGAAACTAATTATGAAGCATATGATTGGAGAACAAAAATATTGATCGATATTGTCAAATTATATACTCCCTCCGGTCCTTATTATAAAACATTTTGATTTTGTCTTTAAGTTTCACTTAAAATATCTTTTTAATTGGAATAAAACCTTAAAAATATTTCACTATAATTAGAAAAATACAATGAATGTGAAAATATATTTTTAAGATTTTTTTCTAATTAACAAGACATCTTAGATTAAATCTAGGACGAAATCAAAATGCCTTATAATAAGGATCGGAGGGAGTATAACTCTATACTTCAAGCTCACGAAAAAGTGAGTTCAAGCTACTTCAAGCTAATGAATTTAGTCCCTTTTAGTCCTTAACATAAGTCATTTTGATTTGTTTTATTGAACTTAGTACATATTTTTAATTAGTAAAAAAAACTTAAAAATATTTCATAATATAAAGAGAATACCAATGAATGTGAAAATATATTTTTAAGATTTTTTCATCAATTAAAAATGTGTACTAGATTAAATTTAAGACAAAATCAAAATGGTATTAACCAAGCAAATGTAAGGAAGCCGTTGATAAATTCAACGCCATCAACTATTCAATGCCGTAATAAAAATTTGTTGCACCAAATGTATAAATCGCATCTTTATGGAGGCAATTCAAACAGTAGATATTTTGATAAATCCTCGGGTTTTTAGATATATATATATATATATATATATATATATATATAAAAGGGGACCTTTGAGTTAACACGTAGTATTTCCTAAGTGTTTTGGCTTCTAATTTATTAAAAATCCAATGTTAAAAAAGAGTAAACTGAAGAATACTTCAAATGAAAAGAGAGAAGATGAAGATTATATGAACAAAAGGGGGGGAAAAAAGAAGAAGAAGAAGAATTGTTCAATTCAATGCTTTCCATTCCGTTCTTTATGAAAGGTGTACAATTCTCTCATAGTCATCAACCTCTCAGTTCATATCATGAGTATTATTAATATACGGGAGTTCTTTCCGTGTTGGATGGTTATTTTGATTGGTATTCTTCGTAAATATATCTTGAGAACAAAAAATACAATATTTTAGCCAACCACCAGTAAATACCGTTGACCACTTCCACCTCGCGCAAGTCAAAAGGCTCTGTTTTAGAGGAAATGAAAAAGGAAAAAAAAAAAAAATTCGTTTCAGAGTTCCTCAAAGATGTGTTTGTTTGGACAAGAACTCATTTTACATCTTAACTCATTTTATCTCTCAAACACAAAACTTAATGGAAAAGAAAACATCATCCAAATAACTTTCTGATTTACATTTTAAATTCCAACTTGAAACACTTTTTCTTAGTGTAATGACCATTTTTGAATTAAAAATAGTTCAGTGACGAAATCTAACAAAGGAAAATCTTAGAGTGACAAATTTGTCAAATTTTCGTTGTTTAGTGATTTTTTTTTAAGAAGTTCTTTTTTAAAGTGACGATAATTGACAGTATTTAATTGTTTAGTGATGACTCGTACTTGATATTTTCAAAATGTAGTTCAAAATATTTTTTTCAAAACTAACATCTAAACAACTTTTTGCTCAAAATACCATCCAAACAACATTTTCATTTCCCTTTTAATTTTCAACTCGAAATACTTCCCACTTTTAAGTGGCAAAATGAAACGTAAGATGACGTCCAAACAAGCACGATATCTTTACGTTATCTCCCTGAGGTACTGAAAATCAAGAACCAGAAATGAGAGAAATTATTCATAAAATGAGTCAAGAATCACGTATTCACATTACGATCATATAAAAGAACATAGTTTTTCACCCAAAAAAAAAAGAGAGAAAAGAGACCATTGTTTAAAAAATAAAACGAATGAAACAATGATATGGTTTAAGAATCTTCATCACGAGTTTATTCATATGGTAAGACTTGTTTCAAACATTCAGGACAAACTTGTTATCATTAATGCCACAAGCAAGGGAAATTGCAAAAGTTTTAATATGTAAAAATGATTTTTCAATCAGCATGATTGCTAGCACAAAACAAGTAGGAACCTCTGTAAAATTGTTTCTTTGATGTCTTGGCCAGCGGCTACATTCTAGACGGCCATCACAGACATTTATTCTGCGAAGTGCGAGAACACCGGCGATCACAAAAACAGGATTCTACACAAGTTGGGATCATATTAGATTAATTTATACATATAAATGAGTTACGTTGGGATCAAAATTCTATAGAGATTCTAGATTTGATCAAATCAGTTACATTTACATTTTAAATTTTTTGAATAAGAGTAGATAAATCAAATATCTTATCTAGTGGATATGATTCAGATTTTTAATGTAAAAATAGTAAAAAAAATACTTAACACTATCGAAATTAAACTATTTCCTCCGTCCCATAATTATTGTCCACTTTGCCCAAAAAATTTTGTCCCAAAATTATTGTCCAATTTGACTTTTTATGGATCAAGTTACACATTTGTCCTTCGTAAAAATATTATCCATAAAATCTTAGTGGTTAAACAATTACTTATGTAGGGATATATCCGATTGTTTAAGGTAAAATATAGTTAAATTTGACCAAAAATAAAATCTTTGATTTTAGTAAAACTAGACAATAATTATGGGACGGGGGAGTAATATTTTTTTACAGTCTTCTAGAATTGTGACACGTATTCTGGAAGATTTTCCCCTCCTTTAATATGGACTAAATTCTGAAAATGGTCCTCTACATTAAAACAAATGCACATTTTTGTATACTTATTTTTTTAAGACAATAAAGGTAACAATCACATTCTAGAGGTGGATATTCTCAACGAATTCCATCACATATGTGTAAACAAGAAATTGCTCTATTACAAGAATAACCCAAAAAACAAAGATACTCTATCACTATTCAACTTGTTCAAAACAACCACTTGAACATTCCAAACGATTGAACTCATAAGGAACGATTGATTGAGATTAAAGCCTAAACCTCAACGTCTACTTGGGACAGTTGACCCCAATGCTGCCATCTCATCCATAGCTTCGGCGTCATCTATTGGACTCCCATCTGACGGCTCCTTTGGAAACAGATTTAGCTGCAAACTAAATTGATTAGTATCTACCATGAGATCATCCCCAAGATCAGCCTCCTCTGACATATTCTTCTCGTGGGACACTTGCTTTGGACTATCCAAAATCATCACAGCCTGATGCTTTGTTGGATCGAGTACAGTTTTAATTGGAATGACATACTGAAGCATTTGATTCATAGATTTGGACGCAAATGCATAGCAGTATCACCATGCTTATCTGAAGTACTCGAACCCGATTTCTTTTGCCTTTTTTAATGTTATAAAAAGTTCATGTACATCAAAAAAATGTGCAATTATTTAGCTGTGCATGGTAAATCCTGATTCCCTTGGAATGACTATGATCTCTGAGAAATATATATGTTGTACACAACATTGAACCCTTTTCTTTATTTTCAAATGCTTATGTTGGTTTTCATGAAACTGTAGAAAATGTTGATAGTGTTCGTCACGATCAATGATAAGATTCATTATTAGAATAGTTCATGTACATCGGAAAATATGCAATTATTTAGCCGTGCATGGTAAATGCTTGGAATGACTATGATCTCCGAGAAATATATATGTTGTACACAACATTGAGCCCTTTTCTTTATTTTCAAATGCTTATGTTGGTTCTCATGAAATTGTAGAAAATGTTGATAGTGTTCGTACGATCAATGATAAGATTCACTATTAGAAAAGTTCATGTACATCGGAAAATATGCAATTATTTAGCCGTGCATGGTAAATGCTTAGAATGACTATGATCTCCGAGAAATATATATGTCATACACAACATTGAGCCCTTTTCTTTATTTTCAAATGCTTATGTTGGTTCTCATGAAACTACAGAAAATGTTGATAGTGTTCGTCACGATCAATGATAAGATTCATTATTAGAAAAGTTCATGTACATCGGAAAATATGCAATTATTTAGCCGTGCATAGTAAATGCTTGGAATGACTATGATCTCCAAGAAATATATATGTTGTACACAACATTGAGCCCTTTTCTTTATTTTCAAATGCTTATGTTGGTTCTCATGAAACTGTAGAAAATGTTGATATTGTCCGTCACGATTACTGATAAGATTCATTATAAGAAAAGTTCTCTGCTACACTTTATCTGCACTAGAAATGCACAATTAAATGTTCCCTTCCATACAATTCTATATTGTATAACTTTTCTACAATTCTATATTTGTATAACTTTTTTACCATGTTTGTTGGTGTTTGCAATTCTATATTTGTATAATTTTTTTCACCATTGTTTATGGTCAGGACGTATATATTTATATAATTGGCATGCCCTATCTAGCTAGGACAATGTTTAAGTTATCTCAAGTTCTCTTCAAAACTTTTTGTTCTCGACTTTACCTCTTGTTATCTCTCCTAACATGCATTATTAAGCTGACATCAAATCAACATCCAAACTAATTATCCGTGTTCCTCATGCACTCCTAAAAACATTCTCTTAGCCATGAAGGACAAATAACAATAATTGTTTTCGTGATAGAGCTAATGTTAATTCTCAAACTTTGCATTGAACTTTAGTTTGAAAGCAAATTGTCCACATAGATTCACTACACGGATATATTGGCAGACGTGAGAAACAATAATTTATAAACATTATACCTTGTGATAAAAAAAAAAAAAAGACAACACACACAAATACAAATCCCCATTGTTCATCATATTGTCAGTTGGTCTTTTCGAAAAGAAAAGAAAACTAAGGATGCAAACAAAGCTGAGTTCTAGTGTTATGGATGCCTTGAAAAATTCTATGAACAATAATATTTTCCCAATGCAAGAAAAAACAACATAGTAGCTACAAGCAATTTACATATTGTGTAGTGTATAAACTCCGAAACATAACATTTGAGAGATACATTACTAATCTCAAAACTGTGGATGGTGACCACCATAACTCAGTGATTACATGGTAAAACTCTTTCAGGTAGTTGAGTCATTGGTTAATGTAACAACGTACGTATCATTACCTGCAAAATATAATATGTAGTTATACTGTAGTAGGATATTTTGTGTTAGAAAACCTTATTTCATGCCGTATAAAATTTGATATTCATGCTAGGTTAAACATTGCAGAAGTTCACTTTTTTTCTAGGGAGAGGGGAAGTACTATATCAAAGGACGCCATAAAAAATCCATGAACGAAAACAAAAACCAGACCTTAAACAATTTTGTTCCAGTAGTATCTAGGATAAAATGTTTGGCCACATGCTCTTCCATAACCCAGCTCTCTGCCACCTGTATGAAACGATTAGTGTAAATTCATAAGGATGGGTTTTGCAATTGAGTAATTAATCATTCATGAAGGATGGGTTTTGCATTTGGCAATACTTATATGGAAAACAAGCAAGAAATTCATAATTTTATACACCTTGGACATATAACAATATGGAGTTGAGTCCTGCAAAATCCACTCTGAAGCTTTCAGAGTGTAATAAATTGCAGAATGTTCCAACAATGCTGCTTCAAAATCGTTCTCATACAAATTCAATTCCTTTTTCTCAATACTAACGAACATGTCGACAGAATTCTTCAATAAATTTGATCTATATGCTTACCTGGCTCTTGATCAATCTAGAGTAAATAGGTAAAATAAAGAGAAATATATCAATAGTCACTCGACTCATATTTAAAAATATTTGTTAAAGAAAAATCAGCATAAAAAATAGCTAGCATATACCGTCAATATAACAATATTGCGACCTTTTTCTTTGTAGTTTGAGTAAACCTACAACCACTAGGACCAAGAACGAGACTTGAAGGGATGTTAGTTTTTGGTTATGGAAAACAACATAAGATCAAGGATCTTCTTACATAACAAAATATAATTTTTTCCCTTTCTTCTTACCAAATCTCTAAAACAAATGAATCCAACTTCTCTTAGTGAAGGAAGTGACAACAGAGGATTAAAACCAAAAGAAAGCCTTTCCATCTCAGAAACCATGACCTTATGATTCAACCATCTGCGAACAAATTCTCTTAACATAGAATCATCATCAAATTTCTCTTGTAAAGAAGGTAAAACTTGCAGATAT